GTTTGTATTTTCAGAGTTTGTCTTTCTAGAGTTGGTATTTTCAGAGTTTGCATTTTCAGAGTTTGTATCTTCAGAGTTTGCATTTTCAGAGTTTGTATTTTCAGAGTTTGTATTTTCAGAGTTTGTATTTTCAGAGTTTGTCTTTTCAGAGTTTGTATTTCCAGAGTTTGCATTTTCAGAGTTTGTATTTTCAGAGTTTGTATTTTTAGGTTTTTTAGGTTTTATTTCCAGAGTTTTTCATTTCAGAGTTTATCTTTCCAGAGTTTTATTTTAAGATTTGTCTTGTAAAAATTTAATTTCCAGAGTTTGTCTTTTCAGAGTTTTCCTTTCTAGAGTTTTATCTTTCCAAATTGTCAGTCTTTCCAAAGGTTTTATTTCTAGAGTTTGTGTGTCACCAAAGTTTGTCTTTCTAGAGTTACTGATTCTAGAGTTGGTCCTTCTAGAGTGTGTCTTTCAATGAAGCTTTTAATTTCAGTGTTTTCTGAGTTTGTTTTACTTCTCAAAGTTGTTTTATTTTAGAATTTTGCTTTCGCTAAGATCTTAAGTTTTCTCAATAAAGGAAGAATTTAGATTTGGAAAGTTTGATGATGCAATGTAAAATTCAGCGAAAAAGTTTAAATTTGATTTAAATAGAAAATGTGGAAAAAATCTACGAAAACTTTTTTTTGTAAATGAAATCTGAGTTGGACTCTTTTAAATCTAAAAGAATTTGATTTATTTGTTTTCTTCTACTTAAAGGAAGTTTAAAGTACCTTGTTGATTGTAAAGTGAAGGAGGGAGTGCAACTAAAAATAATCAAGAATTAAGAATGAATATGATATCTATCTTTTTAAAAAATTTAATTTTTGCATTTGTGGTTTTGCAATAAAAGTGATTTGCGATAATCATGATGAATGATTTTGAACTGTATTTACATCTAAAGGGATAAAAGTACATATCAACAGGACCCTCAAATTTGTGTAGTATCAACAATGAATGAGATATTCAGATTTCTTGTTGGAAATTTTATTATTTACAATTGTGTTTTCTGTTTTACAGTAACTATAGCGCATTTCTGCCCACACAATCTATGGGGTTTAGTTTCAGAACTTAATTCTTTATGATTTTACATATTTCTGTTTGCATCCTCCTCAACTAAGCTTTTTTGGGCCTGTCATAAAGAACGATTTTTTGACCCCCCTTCCCCCCCCCTTCTATCAGATTTGTACAGATTTCAACTATTTTCAACCAAAAAATTTTTATTTTGTATTACTTCATTCAGGGTTAGATTAGGTCAGGACAATTAGCTGGGCCGAGCGCGGCGGCCAGGAAAAACCTTCCATTTCAACCATATTTTCAGCAAAATTAGTATATTTTTAGGGTTTGGTTAGGTTAAGACACTTTCTGGGCTGAGCGCTGCTGCTCATAGGACAGACTNGGAGGAGGGAGGGGGGCAAGGGGGGCTCCAAAAATCGTTCTTTAGGAAATTAATTACTAGTTTTTTTGTTCTGCATATTGTTTTTATTTTTAAACGTGATTTATTGTAAACGTGATTACAAGTGTTACTCCAGTTATTGGGTAAAATGTCCGAATCCAGAAGATAAAAGCTTTGTCTGATATCCCTTAACTTACGAAAAAAAAATGATAATTTTCAATTGTGGTTTCTCTATAAAGTAATTTTCGCATTTCTGAAGTGACTTGCTATTTCTGTATCAGAAACAATATAGAGATAATTGTCAGAATTAAAAAATACAATATCTTCCTCATCATTGATCGGATAAAGATTTTAAGGGTTAAATCGGTTTTGTTAACCTTAACAAACCTAAATCTCATTATTTGAACTAAAATTCGGTGATGGTGATGGACCAAACCTCTGTAGAGTAAAAAAAGTAGATGTTAGTTCCACATTTATTGAATATATATTTTGTTTACTGGACCAAAATGTCAGTCCTTTTAAAGTTGTGAAGGTTCTGACTAAAGGTTTTCAAACTTTAAAGAAACTTGAAATTTTACGTTTCAGACACTGTTTCATCATACAGGGTTGCCCACAAAGGATGAGACTGTAAAAACGATTAGAAACCCTTAAAATACAACGATTTTAACCCTTAACAGAGGGGGGTGGTGCCAAACGTCCCCCCCTTCTGGTTTGTTTTGTCCTAGCACTCTCATTTTTGACACTATCACTGTGAAATTTTGTGACTTTTCATTAATATAGAAAAAAATTCCAATAAATTTAGTTCATTTGAAAAAATTGTTTAAAAAGTTTTTTCTATCTATCCAAATATCTATCTATATAGCTATCATTCTCTCTATCTATCTATCTATCTATCTATCTATCTATCTATCTATTTATCTATCCTTCTATCTATCTATGAATCTATCTGACTATCTATTTACCCATCTATCTGTCTATCTATCTATCTGGCTTTATATCTATTTACAATATGAGTTTTAAAAAATGTCCCATCCATGCTTGAAACTTATCATTGAGACGATATAAAGATAAAAGAATCATGAATGGAATTAAGCATTAACCCTATCACAATATAGTCGGGGGGGGGGGGGGNTTCCCTTTAGTGATTTTGTTCTGCATAACTTTGAAATGGCTTACACTAGAATGCGCAAAACTTCTTCTTTTTTCAGCTTCATAGTTGTCAACAAAATTTGAAGAAATTTTTTTTACATAAGCTAGCTAGGGTGGAGAACGGTCATATAGCTGGTTGGTGATTTAAAAAAGATATTTAACTTTTTTATAATTGAACTTCAGATCTGAAGTTTATTTACTTGATAATCCCTTGAAACATGGATGTAATAATATGTTAATATAATCAATAATTTTTATCATTTTTCACAAATACTTGTTGACCTTATTTTAAGACACATGCCCTTGTAACCTGTCCAATAAAGGTCTTTTTTTAACTGAGCTGGCCTTGAAAAGTTGGACTAATGACTTGTATCCAACTCCCCTACCTCGGCTCTAAGAGCAATATTATAGGGGTGCAGGGGGGTTGGACAAGTCTGTATTAGAATTTGATAAAAAGTAAATACAGAAATAAATACACTCGGATTAATTCACTTACATTTTATCTTTAGATCTTTATTTCAGATTTTCCATTTTTTTATCTAGACCTCATTTTTTGCTACAACAACCTCTTTGAAGTCGAAAATCCAAATGATGTTAAACTTACTGGATAATTTTACATATTTGAGTTGAACAAAACGGGCTGTGAAATGAATGAATAATTCTGGAAACGAACGACTTAAATTTTTTCTATGCGACTGAAAAAAAAATTAACAAAATGGATCGATAACGAAAGATAAGCGAAAGATGACGAAAAATAAGCGAAAGATAACGAAAGATAAGCGATAGGTAAGCGAAAGATAACGAAAGATAAGCGAAAGATATGCGAACGAATTGAAAGAAACATTCTCTACATCTATTAAAAACACTTTACGTTGAAATATTGCGCACAGTCCTATAGCAACACTAATTGTTCAAGCATTATGTGCGTAACGGTAACATCTTTATCCAGCATTTGTTGCCTTCTGACGCATAAAGCTTTACGCTTTAATTGCGTCAAATCATTTTTCTGCACTGTACTGCACTACACTACACTATACAACACTACACTACACTACACTACACTACACTACACTACACTACACTACACTACACTACACTACACTACACTACACTACACTACACTACACTACACTACACTACACTACACTACACTACACTACACTACACTACACTACACTACTCTACACTACACTACACTACACTACACTACACTACACTACACTACACTACAATACACTACACTACACTACACTACACTACAATACACTACACTACACTACACTACACTACACTACACTACACTACACTATTATTTAGTATTCGGTGTAATGAGCTGAAATTGCATTTTTGCATTTTTATTGTTTATTATTCGCACTTCCTGCCTTTTGTCTCCCTAACTGTGTATTGTTTTTGAAAATGCCAAATCCTGATGCTCTTAAAGTGTACTTCTTTGTTTGTCGATCTTTTGTTCAATTTGCTGTGTTTACTTTATTTTACTTATCTTATCTTCTAAATCTGTATTTCTGTTGATGTTGCTGTTTTGAATTTTCTGGTTTAATCTGGATAATTGCTATGTGATCAAAGAGAATATCATTTACGTAGAGTTATACCAGCTTTAATCAGAGAGTTCTGTAAAATCTACGTAAACGTATTAATATTCTAGATTATATAGAGCTTAGATTATGACATTTGTACAGGGTAAACACAGCCTTATGGACTACAGAGATAGTATGCATGAGGAAATTTCTCAAGACAGGACCATCAGATAGATGTCTTTTATGTATTGTTTAGCGCCTGAAATTCTCAGGTTTCACCCTATACCCCCTTTCATTTTTCCTTTACAGTCCTTTTAAGACAAATTATGATAAAGGTTTTATGTAGTTATTTACAAATGTAGATAATTAATAATGTACAACGTAGTTCAGGTTTACAGATATAGGGTTACAACGATATTCATTACAGGGAGACTTGCTTGCATTTCCTTTCATTTATATACTTTTCTCAGTAGGTTCTGGGGGGGGGGGGGGAGCAGAATAGTTTGTTATGAGAGGAGGAGGGGCCTGGATAGGAAGAAGCTGGTTAGGAGCGAAAGAGGCAAAGAGCAGTGAGGATACAAGGGTTATTGAGTAGGAGATTCTTTACAGAAAATGCATCTTGCTAAAAATATTTTGTCATTCTTCAATTGTTATCATCATTTTTTTGTAAGGTTTATTGAATGTTTTAGTTTTTTTAAATTTATTTTGATGTGTACTACCTATTTACCCCTGTGTTTAAGTGCTGTTAAAATAATAAAATTAGTCAAACTACGCGTAATAACATCTCCATCCAAGCTTGTCTTAAAAACGGAAATTATCTATCTATCTATGCACTTGTTTTACACAGGTGGCTCCTAACAAAGCCCTGGCGCCTCAATATATAAGGGTAGGGGTGGCGCCTCCAGCAGATAGTAGTGTCTAACAGACAGACTGTGGGTGACAGGTTGGTTGTTTTCAAGGAGTTTAGAACTATGGATAGGAGGATAGTTTTCAGGGAGTGTAGAACTAGGGAGAACAGGATAGTTATCAGGGAGTATAGAACTAAGGATAGCAGGATAGTTTTCAGGGAGTGTAGAACTAAGGACAGCAGGATAGTTATCAGGGAGTGTAGAACTAAAGATAGGAAGACAGTTTTCAGGGAGTTTAGAACTAGAGATAAGAGGATAGTTATCAGGGAGAGTAGAACTAAGGATTGGAGGATAGTTATCAAGGATTGTAGAACTAAGGATTGGAGGATAGTTATCAGGGAGTGTAGAACTAAGGATTGGAGGATAGTTTTCAGGGAGAGTACAACTAAGGATTGGAGGATAGTTATCAGGGATTGTAGAACTAAGGATTGGAGGATAGTTATCAGGGATTGTAGAACTAAGGATTGGAGGATTGTTATCAAGGATTGTAGAACTAAGGAGAGGTAAGTTCTGGGTTTACAGTTTAAAACTTGTTATTAACTCCATGTTATTTTAGAAGAAAAATATTTTGTTACAGCGCATTTCCTAACTACAAACCTTCTAATTCGGTAAGTTTTTTCCTTTATAAATTTGATTTAAAAAATATGTTTTGCCGTGGACTGCTTTTATTACTGTTGCACTGTAGCTATAAAATCGAAATTCATCCTTCTTTTTTCAAGCTATTTTTTAACTTACTTTAATTGGTATTTTTTGTTCAAAATTTTGAGATTCACAGTTTTTTCAGGTTCCCAACACGAACTTTTTCATTTCAATTTTTTAGTTTTTTTTCAAATCTATTCATATGCGAAATTAAAAAATGAAGACTCTGTAAAAATAACTTTATTTTATTTATTGTGCAGATCAGATATTTTCAAGGGATTGGACAATTCTAAAGAATTTTGCATCTTCAGTTTCTACAATTTACTTTAATCTTATAAAAAGATATGTTCAAAGAAAAAAACAGAATTCTGACCAATCCCCCCTCCCCCCCCCCCATCCCCCAATTCGTAAGTTCACACTGCGACAAGAACAATTGCATGATAAGCACTAAGCAGGAACAGAATCTTAAAACCCGTATTTTTCAACCATTTGTCCATTTATTTATCTAAAACAACGGGGGGAGGGTATTTACACAGGATTTTCCTTCATAGTAAACACAGCTTATTTAATAAATCCTTAGAAACTTGCTAAACTAAATTTTTAAACAGGAAAAATGTTACAATTTTTATATTTAATGATAAAATATTAGAATTGGAATATATTTTCTCAAATGTATGTTATAATCTTTTCAAACATGTTATGTAAATACAATTAGAAGTTAAATATTACCACTCGACACTTACCATGTTCTAGCCGAGGCAAGCTGAGATTGACAGTTTTTATTCTTCAATTAAACTTTTTTTGTATTTTAGAACTATGGATTCTTTCCGATTTTTCCCTCCTTGTGTTGTCACTCTTGTATCAGCTTCTCTAGTCTTAACACTGGCGAGTGCTATGCCAAGTAAGTATAATATCTAGGCAACGCAGGCCAAAGGAATTCAAACAGAATTCTGACTGATATCTTAGAAATTATTCATTTAAATCTTAAAATGCACCAAATGACTTCCAATGGTACTGATTTGTTTAAAATAACAACAGGTTACAAATAAGTTTTTTTATAACATAAAATTTCCGATTTACAAAGATTCCCTTAATCCTATAAATAACGTATAAAGAAAGTCGTTTTTTTTATTGAAAAGTATTAACCATTTTTTCTCCTCAAGTCGCTTTTATACTGAAAATTTTAGGAAAAGAAACTTAGATAACCCTTGAATAGACAAACATTATAGGGTACCATTGTGAATTTGAATGAATATAAATGAAGGCCAGGGTAACTTGAAATTTGTGAAACTTATCAAAGTTTAACAATACAGTTGGGAATCCAATCTAACTCTGATCTTCATGTTCAGGTCCTCAACAGGATTCAAGATTTCTTGGGTTCGGTCTTCCTCAGACGAATCCTAACCAGGGTCTTCAGAATACCCTGGCCGGCGCAGGGCTGGGCGGGGTGGGCGCAGTTGCCGCAACTCAATGTATCTTTGGACGGAACTGTGATCTCTCCTTCAGACCTAGCTTAGGAGCTGCTATTGATGCTAATGGACAATTTGTTCCTCAACTTGGCATAACAACTCAGGTGTAGCTTTAAATATTAAATGTTAGAGTTTTGAGCATTAATGTAAAGTAATTCGACAAGAAATTAACTTTACACCAATAGCAACGCAAATCTTTAATTCTAATTCATTAAATGATAACCTTTTCAAATTCAGGTTGGTAACGGTCCTATTGCACCAACCTTTACCGGTGGTCTCCAGTTAGACGGGAATTCCCAGAATGGAATCGGTGGATTTGTTGCTGGAGGAGTCAATAATGGAAATCCTAACTCATTTAGGTAATCAAGCTTTCATTATCAACCATTCGAATAAAGAACAGCATTTCATGATTAAATTTTTCAGTCCTGGTGTTCAAACTGGTTTTGGGTTCAGTCAGGGACAGAACGGACAAACCCAGGCTACAGCTCAGCTAGGAGGAAACATTCAAACTCCTCAGCTTGGTGGAATCAACTTTGGAGCTCAGAACAGACCCGGAAACATTGGTGGAGTTCAACCTACATTCTTGAACAGACCGTTTCTTAACTTTTTTGGCAAATAGAGCTTAGAGTTTGGTTGTCCTCATCTGGTGGGAGGATGAAGGGGAGGCTGTGTGTAGAGGATGCACAACTATCAAAACACACGCCGGACTGTCTTTCTAAATCTTTATTTATCTTTTAATATTTATCTTCTATATATATATTAGTGAAATAAAACAAAATTTTAATATGATATAATTTGTCAGAGAGTTTCTAGAATAATGGTAAATAAGGAGTACTGTGGTAGTGTTGATTATTAAAAATCCAATCAAAATCATTATCTGGAATAGAGATTATTAAATTATAATAATTAAAAGACTGCCAAATGTGTCAATTCCATACCTATTATAATTATAATTAATAGTTGTATTATGATTCAGAGAAATACAGAGCTGGCAGTATGTTTAAAGAATTTCTTTTAACAGTCATCTTAGATTATTTGTAGACTCTCATTTCCTATCCTTATTTTATAAATCAAAAGTTTCAATATATATTTTAAAACATTGAAGTATTTGACAAAGAGATGTTTAGAAAAAAAAGATTATGTTAAAGCCAAATCTTTATTTTTAATGTTTTGACTAAAAGTTCTGAATAAAGATTGTTAAATTTAGATAAAGAACACGATGTCGTAGACCTTTCATATTCCAAACTATGAATTCTGTAAGTTCAAAATGTCTAGGTTTGAAATATCAAGGGTTTCATCAAGTTGTTAAGATATAGGTATTAGATAATTTCAGGTTGTGGAAAATACTCAATTCCCTTATTTTTCTATTTTGGTGGAGAAAAATATCACAATTTTTCTCTTATCTCTTCCACCATCAATTCATCAATCATTCCACAGTTTTAACAAAACGTTCTTCAGTTTGAATTCCTGGCATGAATCCATCTCACGTAGAAACATTTCTATCTCTCTCACATCCTAAAACAAGTTCTGCATCAAGATTAAGTTAAATTAAACTTGAATATAAGATGTTTTTGGTTTTAAAAATGTCCTTATCAATTTATTTATTTTGGTTACAGCTTTAATGTTTCATCTTTATAATGCATTCAGACAACGACAATTTGTACAATTCATACTTTAGAATGCTTTAACAGGCTCTCTTTTTAAAAGAAATACGATTTTTCAAAGTTTTAAGCTTAAAAATTGCATAATTACAATTGTTTGATAAAATAATTTTTAATCTCATTTTTTTACAATATTCCATTATTACCATTTTCGATATCTTTTCTCTCTGGAATGTTTTTCTTTTCACTTCTTTAACCTTCTGTTGTCCGCTAGAAAAAGTTAAAATCTTAAATAATTAAAACTTATGATGACATTAACTACTAAGTAGCAAAAAAAAAATGTTATCAAATTAGTAATCAAGAACAATTTCAAATAAACAATAAAGTTGTTTCCCAGTCTTACAAATAATATTCAAATTTTACATTGAAATTAATTTAAAAGCGGCTTGTGGATTTCTTGCTACAGAAACATGGAGGAAAATGTGAGATTTAAACACTTTTCGAGCATGGAAAAACATGATATTTTACATAACACTGATTAGATTAAAGATTTAAATAATTCCGTTGTTAATCGAAGGAATACCCCTCTATAATAGAGGATCATTTGAAATTACAGACTCTGTAAAGGACATTTTTAAATTGTCATTTTGGTTTTCTGTATAATTATACTGTTGTCTTCGTATATATCAATAGAATGAAGACAACTTTATATTTCAATGTGGATTTCTACACATTTTTCAAACAGCAGAGGCCCATACAAATGTAAACAAAGAGAAGTTGTCAATAAACAGCTTCTCTTTTTTATACTTGTAAACTTGTAATTGAAAAAGGGGTAAAAGCATTATCAATAAAAAATTGTCTTCATTGTCCTGACAGTATAGCCGACCACTAGGTACCTCATGTCCAATGAATCTAGAAGTATTGTCTTTAATCCCTCAAATAACAGCTAAAATAATATTCTTTATATTGGTGTTAATAGAGTAGTTCAAAGTATTCTTATCTAGGTCATGGATAAGGTTTTGCTTGAGGTAATGGTAATTGGTCAAAGTCATGATAATGCTCAAGGTTAAGGTCATGGTTAAGGTGAACGTCATGGTAAAGGCCAAGGCCATGGTAAAGGCCAAGGTTAATGTAGTGGTCAAGGATGAGATTAAGGTTGAGATCAAAGTCAAGGTTTTGGTCAAAGTCAAGGTTTAGGTCAAAGTCAAGGTCAAGGTCAAGGTCAAGTTCAAGGTCAAGGTCAAGGTCTATGCCAAATTCAAGGTCAAGGTTATGGTCATGGTCAAGGTCATGATCAAATTCAAGATCAAGGTCATGAAAAAGATCAATGGCAAGATAAATATTATAAGATCAAGGTCAAGGTCAAAGTCTAGGTCAAGGTCAAAGTATAGGTCAAGGTAATAGCATGGACAAGGCCATGGTCTAAGTCCAGGCTATGATCAAGGTTAAATTCAAGGTCAAGGTCAATTTCAAGGTCAAGGTCAAGGTCAAGGTAAATTAAATGTTAATGTAAAGGTTTAGGTTATGGTCACGGTCAATGTCATGAGAAAGACCAATATCAAGATAAAATTTATAAGTTCATGGTCATGGTAAAGATCAAGGTCATGGTAAAGATCAAGGTCATGATCATGAACATTATTAAAATCAAGATTAATGCCAATTTCTTGGGAAATATCAGTTTAAAAGTCTCTGTCAAGGTCAAGGTCAAGTTCAGAAAGGTTTAGAAGCTTACCGAATATATAGGTGGTGCATTGATGTGTTCTACCGGAATAGTTCTTCAAAACGCATAATTATTTTAAATCTTATAATCAAAACATTAAAAGAAAACATTTTTTGAATCATCGAATCCATTTTTATTCTAGAAAAGACGTAAGGGCTAAACAGACGTTTTTTCCAAAATATTTAAAATTAAACTGTTATATTTATGTAGAACTGTAGACTGTAGATTGTAGAGTGAAATTAGGAGAAAATTTGTTTGTTTAATTAATCTAAATTATCAGTTTTTAAATGGGAAATCGGCTTAAAGGGTTGTAAACGAAATTTTGAGTGACTTTCCATTTCGATAAGGGCATACCTGATTCACAACGGTACCCTTGAACACTATATCCAGGATAGTGTTACTGTTAGCTATACGATAAAAGGTGTTCTATATTGATCAATTTTACGGATTTTCATGTTGGTTTTTCCATAATATCTACGGGTGAAATTTAAGTTGTTTGTTCTTTCTGGACCCTTCAGCTTAGACTTGTCTGATTACTGATGTAATGTAGAAGACCATGACCTTGACATTGACCTTTGTCTTGACCTTGACCTTAATTTTTTTTGATAATTTTGTAATTATTGTTGTTCCTTGAAATGGGAATATGAGGTAGGACAGGGTCTATCAGACAATTCAAGCTGACCCTGGAAACAAGAATTAATGAAGAACTACTTTACACTGGCGTGGAGCTGACCCTGGAAACAAGGATTAATGAAGATCTACTTTACACTGCCGTGGAGCTGACCCTGGAAACAAGGATTAATTAAGATATTCTTTACACTGCCGTGGAGCTGACCCTGGAAACAAGGATTAATGAAGAACTACTTTACACTGATGGGGAGCTGGCTCAGTCTTAAATGGAAACCATGTCTGCTTCAGGGTTTCTTGTTTTCTAATATTTCTGTTCATTCCTAACCTAATATTTTCATTGAGAGGATACTCAACATTTATGATTTATTTTATAAAACTAGGCTTTGGTGGCGCTTCGCGTCCCTCTTCTGTTTAAATTGTGAACATTTTCTGTTTTTATACATGGTAAAACAATATAAAAAAATATGAGGTCCCACACAAAATTTGGGCATTTTGGGTTCAGCCGTGTTGACGTTTATTGAATGCAAACACACAGATAAACAGACAAGCAAAGTATATATATATATATATATATATATATATATAGATAAAAGCTAGGGAACCCAGAGTTGCCCAGGTTACTCAAAGTTAATCCCGCCGTTTACCCGCACTTGGTTCTAAATTAGTTTATTTTCCCATTATGAGTCAACCAACACAAAGTAGAATCTGAAAACCAAGAACAAGCCTTTCATTCTCCCGAGTTCCTGCAATTAAAATTAACATTTTTAGTGTAAAACTCTTTGCTCAAATATATATTGGTATACAGTTAAACTCTAAATGAGCCATACCTTTTTTAATGGGTTTTTAACTATTTTACGTAAATCCCAGTATTTGCGAAAATAAATAAATAGCCACGAATATGCGGGAACAGTTTTAAAGAGCTCCATGTAATCATTTAATTAAAAAACTAAATATCTGCAACATTCCATTATCAGAAAGTGATGAATACGACATTTGATGAATTCTTTCGACGTATGGCTTATTTAGGGTTTAACTGTATATACATAAATATGTTAGCTACATCTTGCAAAACGGCTTGACTAAAATCGCTGATTTTTTTTTTAAATCATTGGGTATCATGGGGATACCATTTGCTAAAAAATTTGTTTTTTCCCTCAAAGAATCGAAACTTTGTTTTTAAAAAATTCGAGATTTTTTTCAACGGGCAACGCCGGGCACTAGTATATTATAAAGCTCTTCACTAAGAAAAATATAAATGTTAGCTAAAGCTGGCCAAACGGCAGGACTGATTTTTTTTGAGGAAACCCATGGGTGCCCGGGGAGTATTTTTTGTTTAAAAAATAAATTTTTTTCAAAAATCAAATATATTTTTTTTATGTTGCAGATATCTAAAATTATGTTACCTATAATTTCCAGTCAAAGCCCCATATCTTGCACACAGATTTCTTAACAAATACATTGAAGGATACTTTCCAGTAAAATCTATTATTTTCAAATTATTTTAAGATTTTATTTATAAATTTGAAAATACCTGTGATCAAGGTTGTCCGGATCTACAGTCACAAAAACCTGGCACAATATTAGTGAAAACCTATCAAATATTCAAGTAACTTATTTTTCTTTGTCATCTAACTTTAAACTCAATTTGGTTTCCAGCTAAAAATTGTTCCTGGGAGAATTCGAAAATTTGAGATGAATTTTCAACTTTTTTCTGATCCACCAGGGCTGAAAACCACCTCCAAACTGAATAAAACAAATAAATTATTCACAAAATTTTATTAAAACACCAACCTAAAGATTGCCAAAAGTACATTTTAAAAATACAGAATTTTGTAAAAGGGGGTGCGGTGCACATTATTCGTAAATTAGAAAAAAAAGTTTTCCAAAAATATTTAAAGGATTCTTGGAGCTTCCTCTAAAGTATTAAGTAAAATATATTATTGGGGGGAGGGGGGGGGGGGACTTGAATTTCAGTCTTTTGGTAAGTATCTTTGGGCAAAGTAAAAGTTAAAATTTTATTTTTTTAAATTACCTTGTTTATACACATCAGGTTTTATTTCTTCTATTGGTCGAGAAAGCAGTCTTTTCAGCGGTACTGTAACCTCTTCCTCTTCAATATATTATTTATGTACATATATGTAAAGTAGTAATCTCTGTATGTTTTGTTTGTTTGTTTGTTTGTATGGATCATAACTCAGGAACCCTCTGATCTGCCTTGAACCATGGGAATTTCTTTAGCTTGTTTTTAAAGTTCCGGGCAAAGCTGGGTTCCAAGCTAATGTTCTATCTAACGTAAAAAAGACGATATACATAAATATAAAGATAAACCTAGATTCCTTACCTAGTTTTTATAAAGGGTTTTGAATTTCAGAAATGTATAACTAGGTTGCAGGTGCCCCGTTTCTTATTGACAATTTTCGAGGATTTTTCTGTTGAAAATTGGTGCATTTTCAAAATAAAAAAATTGACAACATTATTGTCTGGTCAAAGTTTTCAACTTTGACCAGATATCAACCTTCCTATGAGAGCATGTAAGTTGTCTCAAAATTTAGGACTGGATCGGTTCAGTTGTTTTCAAGTTTATTAGATACACACAAACAAACACCCTTACAGACAGACAAGCAAAGTATATATATGGATAGGTATATCAGTACAGTGCATGTTATAAAAATGCAAATTTTGGAACAAATATTTAAAAATAATTTACAATGTTTTGAGTTAAATTACACTGGTTGATATGAATTTCAACCAAAACTGTACCGTTTAAAAATTTTTAGAGATCGTCTTTTTTTCAAGTTAAGTTTTTTTTAGAAAAAAATCAGAAATCAATTGAAAACTTTCAAAGATTTAAAAGAAGTTGTGAGTAAATTGAGAAAACAGAAATCAGTTGACAATAGAAAAACTTTTACTTTCATCAAAGTGAAAAAGCATTTTTATTTTTTTTTCAAGTGCGGAGGAAAATTGTTTTTAAAGTTGAATATTCCATTCACGACACATGTCGGAGGAATCTTTCGTATTTTCTCTTTCTTCAGATTTTTTGAGAATTGATTTCTTGTATAAAGAGAAACCTCAGTCAAAAATATTATGAATTTTTAGATGAAAAGCCAGAGATATCCAAGGTTATAATGTCAGGAAAGTTAATTGCAGTTGTGTATACTCTTCGTACATATTGAAACCAGTTCTCTCTGGGCGGAATTTGTAAACAAGAATAGATGCATCACTGTTCGTTTAGTATCCGAGGAGGATAAAAGCATTAAATTTTGAAAATTTTCCTAATTCACATAATAGTTTCCTATGACCAGAATATTTAATTGATTTTTTATGTGAAAGATATATCCCATGTCAGGCTTTGACATCCGTCTTGTGTTTACGTTACCGCCGAGAGACAGTACACTGCAGTACAAAAGATGCGTACACCTCTGAAATAATTTTCCTTGGAGATATCTAACAGTTATATATAAAGGGATTCATGTTAAATCGGACACTCAACACTTTTGATAAGGATCACTCGAAATTTCATCAACAATGATTTTTGGAAAGAAATATTAAATATTGTGAATAAAAACATTTAAATGTTTTGAGGGAAAAATCAAAATATTCTCTGTAGTACTTTCAAGGAGTATTAAATAGAAGGGAGAGAAATATTTTCTGATGTACAAGTACCGCGTATACAATAACCTATGCTGAATATTTCTTATTAAAATGAAGTACAGTCTGCAAAGTATGTATAATCATATGGTAGGGCGGGCCAAGGAACTAGGCAAGGAAATTTAATTATGGTTGCGTATACGTAGAGTACAGTTGTGTATACTCTTCGTACATATTGAAACCAGTTCTCTCTGGGCGGACTTTGTAAACAAGAATAGATGCATCAGTATTCGTTTAGTATCCGAGGAGGTTAAAAGCATTTAATTTTGATAATTTTGATAATTCACATAATAGTTTCCTATATGACCAAATATTTCATAGATTATTTTTGTAAAAATGGATTCCATGTCAGGCGCTGACATCAGTCTTGTGTTTACTTCTTCGCCCAAAGACAGTCCATTGCAGTACGAAAAAAATGCGTAAATAACTTTCCTTGCATTAGTACCTTGGTTGTAACTCCCTTCTATTTCATACTTCTTGAGTACACTCACCTGTATAATGGGGTTTATTGAGTACAAGGGCCAAGTAGTGCAACAAACCTCTAACATTTTAAGAATATTTTTTTTATATTTTAAAAATGAAAATTCATTATTTCCATCTGTAATTTATTTGATTACCTTGTGCTGTTGGGGTGTTCATTTAAAGTCTTAAATATTTAAAGAACTTTTAAAATAGTTTGAAAACTGCACATAATGTTTATTCATGTCTTAGACAATATTTGTGCAGAAAAGAAATATTTCTGAAGTTTTTTAATTAAACTTTCTTCTTCAGTTCTTTATTTTCCTTTATGATTGCTTCTTCTGCGTCCGGCATTTCTTAATTATAATAAATCATTTTTTTAGAAAGATTTTCATTAAGATTGAAATTTTGTAAATTAAAAAACCTTGAAAGAGGAATAATTCGAAAAAAAATATAAAAAGAATATCTTATTTTTAGAATCTAAGCATAATATAAAGAAAAACATATTTTGATAAATTTAAATAAAAAGATTTAACTGTTTCGTAGTTTTGCAAGATCTCCATCTAGCCTCTAAAAAAAGCACAAATAATCAATTTTGGGTTTTAGAATAACATTTGACAGAAGTAAGATGTGACACTATTCTAAAACCAGCCAGGGTCTTTGCCCCCCCCCCCTGACTAAAATCCTGAATACGCACCTGACCCGGATACATTATAAAAATATTAAAATGACATTACAAAAAACTGATAAATATATTGGATACAAACAAATTAATAAAAAGTGGTTCCTACCTCTCTGATTTTAAAATCTTGAAAATCCGTGAACATGATATTTTTGTAAACCTGAGATTTTTTATCACAATTTTCTCCGTCAATTTCGCAGTAATTTGCACTAGAAAACAAAATTATAATCTTTTACACTTTCTTTATTAAAAATACTTCAATACTAGGGAAGAAGAGTGAATATAAATCTAAGAGGGACATTCACGATTATCAACGGTATCCTTGAAACGTCTCTAATCAATTAAGCTGTCTACCTTGAAAATTCCTGCACTGCTTTCCTGCAGTAGAATGCGCAAGTAATTTTAATACAGAACACTAGTAAAGAACCCACTATTGAACATTATCAGTTTTTAAAATCATAAATGGTTGATCAGACAAAGCTTCTAAAAATGCTGTTGTTAATCAGACATGCCGCTCTAAAAATAAAAGGTCAGTTATGTTTAGAAACTCTTTAATGTTCAGCAATTTTTAAATTGTATTAAATCAAGGACTAAAATAATTGCGAGAAATAGTAATACTTAGAGACTCTCCACTTCTCTCCAAATAAAGTAAAAAAATAGTTTAATTACTGCGGTCGGCGTTTATATAAATACAATTAAGACACATTTTTATTTCAGTTTTAATTTCTTACAAGTTTTTTTCAGGAAAATAAATTTACAAGTAAAGAAAAAGAAGTTGTTAATTGACAACTTCTCTTTGTTTATATTTGTTTACGTGTATACATGCTGTTTAAAAACTTCTAGAATTCAAATTGAAATCGAAAGTCGTGTTGACCATATTGATATGAACGACTACAACTGCACGTCTGATCGTAGTTTAATTTCTTTTCTCAAACCTTGTTCCTGCTCATTACCTGGCAAAATGAAGAGAATAAAATGTGATGATTAAAAGACGGTTTAACATTATTTATTAGGATATTCTGAAACAAATTTGATATTGTTTCTTTTAAGCGTTTGAGTTAAAAAAAACGTATATATTTTCTTTGGAAGAAAAGGATAAAGTACGATAAAAAATTTCTTTTGTGAAAATTAGAAGGGATGGCCTCCTTCCCCCCCCCCCNTTGGGGCGCAACTCTAAAACATTGAGTTAAATAATTCCTTCCTCTGAAAGTCACTTTTACATTAGAATTGACCTGATTTTATTCCTATTTTTTGGTTTAACTTTGTTTAATTTCAATCACAAAAGTTGTATATCTAATATTAGCTATTAAACTGCAGCAGTGGACATGAATCTTGATATCCACTGAGACATCTCTTAGATTTGAGAAGGCTTGATTTCTTAATTTAGGTTTCAACCACAGGACATCTGAGAGAGATCTTTAGATGACAAAAGATATGATAGCTATGTAATCCCGGGATTGACGACATAAAAATCTTAAACATTGGACATTTTCGCATGGAAATATTATCTTTAGGTAATCACTTTATATTTAATGATGTAATCAAACATAGGAATATATTTTCCACAACCCCCCCCCCCATAGTCCTATATTTAGCAAAAACCATTTTGTAAATTTTGAAATATAAAAATTGTAATATCACTATTTAACAATGATCAGACCATATCAGACTTGCACTATTCATTTTCATTCCTTTTCTTGGACGGATAGATAGATATTAGATTCGTAACATGTGTAGATAGATAGATAGTGGAAGGTATATACTCCAGGTAAGGTGACGTATTTTTCGCTTCGGTCCATCAATCTTCATTAATATTTAGACTTCAGTTTGAATTTTACACAAAAGTTAACAGGACTTGTCATGGTTTTGAATTTGATGTTGGATTATAAATTCATTATTAACAGGGCTACCCATAAAGGACGAGATTGTAAAGACGACCTGAAACTCTTAAAATATGACGAATGCAAGGTTTGATTTAGTTTCCTGTCTTGAATATAGTCTTTTAATGGCTTGTTAAATAATTTAGAAAAGAAAGAAACAAACAGAGAGTACAACAGTCGTCTCTGAAGTCTCATCCTTTGTGGGTAACCCTGTATATAGAATGTAAGTTTATATAGAATTGTGGATTAATCTATTGTAGTGCTTTACACGAAGTGAACTGTCCGCTTCCTTATACTAATTATTCCTGGAAACTGGAAACCTGTTTTTTTTTCTTTGACAAATCACTTTTTAAGCCAATAAAAGGATGTATTTAATTCAGAAAACTTTTTTTGACCTTTTGATATTTTTAAGATCATACGGTCGTCTGTACATTCTTATTCTTTGTGGGACCTTGTATAAAATAGCAGATGGCTATTGGTTGGAGGATGGATGGAGGGGGGGGGGAGGATATTCCAAGTTTGTATAGATTATGTAAACGTATACTAATGATAACTTTCACACAAAGGTAAATTTTTTTGAAAATAAAAAAATTACTAATTTCTCTTAGATCAGTATTAATTACTTATTCCCACAGATTTAAGAGTTGCAACAGAGGATATCAAGATTAGGTGTTACAGATCAGCGCTGTTTCTAAAGTTTTGACCTCAAGACGTTTTCGATCTGAAGAATTTAGGCGGGGCAAGGTTTAAAATCCTTAATTTTTAGAGTTTTTTGTATATCTTATCAAATATAATGATTTTGTTTAGATGAAAATGAGATTTGAATTGTTAAACATGATGCTACTCATTTTAAATGTAAGATTACTACTACCACTCAAGAATTAAAGGGGAAATAGAAATTTTCAAATTTCAATTTTCAAATTTAAGTTTTTAAATTCAAAATACCAAAGATTTAAAGAAATTTTTTATTATTATTTTTAAAATTTGATTTTATTAATTATCTTATACGTTAACAACTTACACAGACCCGGGGTAAGGAAACATATTGCACGTGTTTAAGTCGTGGAACATTTTTTATGTGAATCTTCAAAGACTACAATTAACTCGTCAATTATTATGTTTAATGAAAAACCCTGTTGTATACCTTGAGCTCTGCAACTTAACTTCAGAAAATATATTATTCGATCTTGCTCCACTTTACACTCCCATTAAATTCATTAAATTCATTAAATTCATTAAATTCATTAAATTCATTAAATTCATTAAATTCATTAAATTCATTAAATTCATTAAATTCCTTAAAATGCAACTTTTTATTCCTTAGAAAATGCAAGATTAAACGGAAATACCAAAAATATATTAAATCCTTTTTATTAAATATAAATTTTTCCGTTTTTTCAGGTTTCTGGTTCCGAAGAATTGAGCGAAGAGCATATTTTTGAGATAGATTTTGATACGTTTAAGTTCGAGCAAGACGACCCAAAACTTGTTGAGTATGTGAAAAGTCGTCTTCTAATTAAAACCGGAACATCTAGTGGACAAGTAAGTGCAACAAAATTTCCGGAAATTATATGAAAAATAATAATATCCATATATAATAATAATAATTTTGCCCAATTTTTGTGACATTTAGATTTTAATAAAAACTGTTATTTCAAGTGATTGTTTAATTGGAGTGTTCGCGAAAAATGAAAAGGGGTAAAGGCTTACGTCGAAAATATTCGATTGTGATCGCTACTAATCTTACTTCTATATATCTGTGCCGTCTCTAAGGAGAAAATTGTTAAAAAAGACTGGTACTGAAGAACGATGGGTCCATACAAATTCAGAAAATTGCAACATTCGAATCGGATCGTAAACAAATCAATTTAATTCCAAACAAATCTTTTAAATATTACAATCAATAATCATCGTTTTCGTATATAGAAAAGATTTAGGGGTGACAGCAGCACGCCAAAAACGTGATTTAGTCAGAGTAGCGTGTTGAAAAATCCTATTTTAAGAGTTTCAATGAAATAGCGTGTTTTCGGTCAAAACAAAACAAAACAAAACAAAATGTTAAAACAAAACATTGAAACAACTTAAGAGACTCTTCTTAAGAGACCAAGCCTTAATTGACATAAATAAGAGGTTTATGCAATAAATGCATTTTGGCTTACCTCCCCCCATACCCTACGGGGGGGGGGGGGGGGGTTGTCGTTTAATTTTTCTCATCATTTATTTGAAGTTTAATTTAGGAATCATCTAAGACAATGTTATAATTTTATATTTTATGTATGAACTGCAATACACAGATTAAATACATTTTTAAATCCTGATCAGTGTTAAACTTCGGGTCATGATCATGAATGGCCCCACAAAAAATTTTTCTCGAACATTTCAGCCGTTTCTAAATGTTTCTTGGATACATCATATACAACCAGGAAAATATATACATGATAAATGTATGCAAATAAATAATTTCCATGAATCAGGAAAAATCGAGTTTTTGTTGACCTTAAAACGAAGTGACCGGCTATGTAAGGTAGTTGAACTGAGTATGCAGTGTTGTGGAAAATTTCTTTCGGATTCATTTCAGACATATTAAACTGATCTGTAAATCCTGAGTTTAAGCGCAAATTCGACGTTCAAAACTCCTACTTTGGGGGTGGATACGTTTTCAGAATCAGTTTCTTTTAAAATTATTAAATAACGACTCCCTTTAAGTAAAATAATGTTAATCAAAAAATGTTTTTAAAAAATTAATCAAAATAAGATTCACATTCTTCAAAGGTTTCTATGTTTTTTTCTCACGCCGTAATTTCTAAAAGATTTTAATTCTGAAAAATAAATGAATGTTATGAGTTTTCTAGAATTTGAATTTGAGCAGAAGAAGTTCGAATATGCGAGGACAGTTTGATCAAGCGGTGGAGGTTGATCAAATTTATAACAGGTCAAGAACTAATCAATTTAAAAGGACACTTCTCGGTTTAAAGGGAGTGTTCGCGAAAAATGAAAGGGGGTATAGGCTTAATGCGATAAAAAAGCGCTTTTGATCGCCACAAATTTTACTTCTATCTGTTGCGTCTATAAGGAGAAAATTGTTAAATACGTCTCATACTGAATAACTTAGCGCCCATACAAATTGAGAAAATTGCAACTTAGACCGTGAAAAAATCAATTTAATTTCAAACAAATACTTCAGATATTACAACTTATAGTCATCAATTATCTTTCGACACATTTGTATATAGTTCATATTTTATCATATTTTTAAATTAATTTGTTTTGAATTTGAGTATTTCTCTTGTTGCTTGCGCAACTATCTAAGAATGCTGCGGACCACTCACATTTTTCGAAATCCGTTAAAACGTTTTCTAAAAAAATAAAATATTATAAAATGTAAACTATATACAAATGTGGCTAAAGATAATCGATGACTATAAGTTGTAATATCTGAATTATTTGTTTGAAATTAAATTGATTTCTTACGGTCTAAGTCGTATGTTGCAATTTTCTGAATTTTTATGGGCGCTAAGTTATTCGGTATGAGACGTCTTTAACAATTTTATCCTTTTAGACGCAACCGATAGAAGTAAAATTTGTGGCGATCAAAGCGTTTTTTTTCCACGACCATCTTCTAATAAACTTAAATCTTGTTCGCTGATCTGTCTTCAAGCCTTTCTTATATTATAATATGACAATGATAGATTTACCTATTTTTTCGACAGTTTCAAGAGATGATAAAGAGATAATATCCTCTAAAATTTTGACATGACCATTTTCTAAAATCTTTATCTTCTAAGCTGAAGTTTTGTTGTCAATAAAAAGTTTTAAGTTTTGAATTTTCAATTTGATAACCTTAAACAAAGGAATTGAGTCTTTGCCACAAACTTCGTTTTCTAATCCCTACGGTTTTACAACCCAATGTCGAAGACCTTTGATATTTCAAACTAAGAATTAGACCAAATAATCTTGAAATATCAAAGGTTTACACCATCAAGTTGCAAAGATTCATGGATTTGAAAATTTGAATTTGTGGCAAAGACTCAATTTCTTTATGTTTCAAACTTTTTCCGTCCGTAATTACGCTTTTTTACTTGAATATCTTTGCAAAGAAAAAATATTTTAAATTTTTTTAAATCTGAAGCAATTTTAAATAGAAGCGAAAGTATTAAAGTCATTTTGATCGAAAATACGATAGAAAAGTATAAATTTTCAGATAGAAAACAAGGATATCTTGTCAGATAAAGGATTACATGGAACCATTGTGAATGGTGCTTAATAACTCTAATTCAATGGAGGATAAATATGATAATATTCCCTTATTGATTGATTGATTGATTGATTATTTGATTGCTTTCAGCTCTCTCCGGGACGGATTCTTCATTGAGGCAGGGGCCTGGGATGGAGAACATATCAGTAATACCCTCCTTCTTGGTAACACTATTTCATCAAATCAAATAATTTTTTTAGACATACTTAGCTTTTAATTAGCTTTTAAGTTTGAAACATCAAATACTTTGAAAGCTACAATCAATGTATTTGTATGGAGTTCTTAATAGTTCAACAAAAGAAGGTTTGAAAAAATTGCGCTTATTTGTGAATTTCTACCAATATTTTCTAATCTGAAACTTTTTGCTTCACTTCTCTTTACTTTGCGTTCATGGTATTAATATCTGATTAGAATTTTAGGATCTAGGTTCTAGGTCCAGGGATCTAGGTTCTAGGTTCTAGGTTTAAGGTTGTAGGTTGTTGGTTTTAGGTTTAAGGTTTTAGGTTTAAGGTTTTAGGTTTTAGGTTTTAGGTTTAAGGTATTAGGTTTAAGGTTTTAGGTTCTAGGTTCTAGGTTCTAGGTTCTAGATTCTAGGTTCTAGATTCTAGGTTCTAGATTCGAGATTCTTGGTTCTAGTTTCTAGGTTCTAGGTTCTAGATTCTTGGTTCTAGTTTCTAGATTCTAGGTTCTAGTTTCTAGGTTCTAGGTTTGAGGTTCTAGGTTCTAGTATCTAGGTTCCAGGTTCTAAATTCTAGGTTCTAGGATCTAGGTTTTAGATTTAAGGTTCTAGGTTCTAGGTTCTAGGTTTCAGGTTCTAGATTCTAGATTGTAGATTTAATGTTCTAGTTTTCAGGTTCTAGATTTTACAGGTTGTAGGTTAAAGGTTCTAGGTTCTAGGGTCTAGTTTCTTGTTTCTAGGTTCTAGGTTCTAGTTTCTAGTTTCTCGGTTATAGTTTCTAGTTTCTAGGTTCTAGGTTCTAGGTTCTAGGATCTAGGTTCTAGGTTCTAGTTTCTAGCTTCTAGTGGCTAGTTTCTAGTTTCTAGGTTCTAGTTTCTAGTTCTAGGTTCTTGTTTCTAGGTTCTAGGTTCTAGTATCTAGGTTCATAACAATATAACTTCTAGTTTGTAATAATAATAATAAAATTTATAATGTAGAGGTAAAAAGAGATTGGTCTGGATTACTAATAGAACCAAATCCAGAAACTTTTAAATCACTAAAAGGTAAATTTTTCCAGTTTTTAATAATAAAACGTATAATTGTGACGTCTTATATAGTATTCCCACATGGTATTTTTTGGAATAAATATCAATTAAAGCAATAACAAAATATTTAGCTGCTTTCTAACTACAATTATACTCAAAACACGCATGCAATACAGGGTGTCCCAATAAACATCGGAATTAAATAACTTCTGCATTGTTTTTGTTTCATGCTGGATTATTTCCTAAACATAATTTGTAGTATCACAGTTTAAACCATAGAGTAATAAAACGAAGAGGTGAAGCTTAGCTCAGATGTACACAACCGACCTCCCTATTAATGTATTAATAGAGTGGTGGGATGTGTACATCACGATATGTTTATGTATCTAACACTGTACACTTGTATAAAGAGTGATCGTATTTCTAAGGGGTGGTTTGGTGGAGATATTTGAATATTAGTATTGAAAATTAGATAGATACTTAATATGGATATAACGAAGACGAAGCCATTTTTATCCAAAATATGCACAGGATAAAACTAATAAAGAAAATTATTCAGAAATTCGTTTTAATGCGAATATTGCATCTTTGTAGGCAGAAGCATGAGGAGAAAAAAAACTAAAATTCGTCAAAAATCTAATATGTTGGTTTTATTTAAACATGAATAAAATTATATTTTTGAATCTTTCTTATAATTACTGTGTGTTTATACCCATAAAGGACGAGACAATATTTGAGACAGAAACTAAATTCAACCTTTAGATTGCTGTTTATGTTTAACCCTATAAAAGCTGGGGGTTCTGAATCTCTGTATAGAAGGGGGGGGGGGCGTCCTACGTCCCCCCCTCCCCCTTACGAAAAGGCCTTATGGCGAATATGTATAGGGTTTAAATGCATGTTCATAGCCAAATTTTTCAAGGCCAGCTCATTGAAATAAAATTAGATCGATTACTTTTATAGTGCTAGGAATGGTCGAAAAAAATGCATAAAAAGATCGAAAAAATGTAAAAATATTTTTTTTTGTTTAAAACAAATATCAAAGTGTGACATATGTTTCTACACCCATTTTTCAAGTGCTTTTCAAATATTTAGTTTTCAGATCTGTAGCTTCAGTCACAAAAAGTTATAAACTATTTAAGATTTTTTTTACAAACTCCGTTTTTTTATCGCCCTGCACCCTACCTTATGCATGAAAAAAAGCTACAAAAAAAATCCTTTAAATTTCTATTTATGAAAAGTAAAAAAATTGGTCAAAAAACTAGAGGGAGGAGCCAAACGTCCCCCCCCCCCCNCTCCAGGTCGTCATCGTTGTTTCATCTTTTGTGGGTAACCCTGCATACACTGTCATGTTTATGATGAAGAGTTGAAGAGAAGAAACAATAAAAATGTTTGAAATAAGAATGTTTAAACTTAAATTCATGCCCTAGAAACTTAATATTTTTTACATTACTTTTTGCTAATAAATTGGAAACCTACAAATTTGAAAATAGTCAAATGTTTGCAGTCAACATCATCGAATTCTCTTTAAATAAAGATAGAAAATCTAAAAATTGGTCAGTTTCATAAAATCCCCCTTAGAAATACGATCACTCTATATACAAGTGTACAGAGTTAGATACGTAAACATATCGTGATGTACACAACCGACCACTCTATTAATACATTAATAGGGAGGTCGGTTGTGTACATCTGAGCTAAGCTTCACCTCTTCGTTTGATTACTTTATGGTTTAAACATTGAATACCGAAAACTACTTGTAGTTGTACTTGTAGATATCATATCAAGGATTTAAAACGGATCTCCTTTAAAAGTTATTATCTCAGAAATTTTTTAACATCTAAATGTTGATGTATTTTTCCATCAACACAAAAAATCAAATTATTTTGTTTAGGAAAAAACCGAAATGCCTGGATATCTCCTGCATGTTTATCAACAACAACCAGACCAATTATTATAGGCAATACATGTCATTCATTCAAAATTCTAAATCATAACTTTTGTACAATCAAAGCCGTAGATTTATTCTTGTGTCAGTGTAGATCAAAAACATGCATCTTCTTCATTAGATCTGATGAAAGTGTTTTCATTATTTTTCTTATTAAGAAAATGAATGTCGTTGAGAATTATTGATGTATTTACCCTTTTATGAAAAAGTCAATTATAATTTTTATTAAAAAGTGTTTTATTATAGAGAAACAAATCTAAATTAAAAACCTTTCTTTTTCAGGCATACAAAGAAAAGATATTGAACTTAACCATTGATTTAACCATGGTTTGGAAAAGCCTTTTGGGGGGCACCCTCCCCCTCTTGGAACATTGGACAAATGCTCCATAATAGTTTTTTTTTGATTAAATAAAATGTCTGAAAAGGTAAAAACAAAAGATTTTAATAGATACCATTTTTCATTTAATTTTTTAACAATTCACGGCGGGGGGGGGGTTGGTTGGAGATACTGGAATTTCCCTTTATAAAGTTCCCCCACAGCCCCCTACCCCTGAGAATAAATCCTGTATACGACCCTGCGTCTAATTAGAAACAAAGTAGAAAAAAGTTAAAAGTTTAATATTTAAAACTATTTTCCTTTTTATAACTGGAATTTCCTGATGGATTTTCTACCTCCTGCCTTCTACTTTGATGAATAATATTTATCCAGCTCGTGATTTTGTTATAATCAAATTTGAAAAAAATTATTTTATGCAAATTAAAATAGATTATGTTTAAAAATATTTTAATATTATTTTACTCTGTTTATTGAGGTTTTTATTTTCATGTCATATCCGCATGTTGCACTCATAGAGAATCTAGAGAACCCATGCAATTGAAAATATTTGCTACAGTGATAGTCAAAAAACAAAAAAAAGACAACTTATAGAATCAAGTTACAGCTTAAAAAGGTTCAATGAGCAGGGACACAGCAATTGTGCAGAGTCAAAAGAATCACTTCCCTAAATTAGTGATTTATAATGTGTCTAGTTAAAATATATGCTTCGTAGCAACAACAATCACAGTAAAGTATTGTTATAATGACCTATTCCATGGTTTTAAGGATCTATCATTTGTATGCCATCTCTTCAAATTTTGTCATTTAAAACTTCGTCAATTGACCCAATAGAGTCATTGTACGTTTTAGATCTTAATTCATCCATTTTTCATTATTAGGTCATTCATTGAGGGCCGTATTCAGACGTTTATATTTTTTGGACAATAAAAGTGTTTCACGAAAATGTGAGCAATTAATTATATTGCAAACCCGTGAAGGTTGCAACTATAGTCTAGAATCCCGAGAAGGTTGCAACTAGTCTAGAATCCCGAGAAGGTTGCAACTAGTCTAGAATCCCGAGAAGGTTGCAACTAGTCTAGAATCCCGAGAAGGTTGCAACTAGTCTAGAATCCCGAGAAGTTTGCAACTAGTCTAGATTGTAATTTTGAAATAGGATTCACATCTCGCACTCTTGTTGAACTTCCTCAAAGTAAAAAACCGTTGAATCAGAATATTTAAAAACGGGCCTCATCTACAAAAGATTTCATATTCTCATAAAAATTAAGACTTTTAAACAAAATTACAATATAAATTGAAAACTATTTTATTCCTATATTTTACAAACGAAATTTCTTGACAAAACAAATTTAATTTTAAAAATGATTTTATATTTTCAAATATTTGAAGCTTTTTAATCTGAAATTTTCCAGTTAAATAAATTTTGTATTGAAGATTTTAAGCTGGACGGACTACTAGGAGGTATTGTTGGTAACCAGGTAAGGAAATCATATGCTTTAAAGGGACTGTGCACTTCAATTGTCAATTGTCAATTAAGGAAACCTCTTAATTTGTCTGAAAACAGATTTATTTTGTCAATTTTATTGATTGGTTTTATCTGCATAACTCCGCAGGTTTCTATATTAAAAAATTGCAATTGAAAATTATCAATTTTTCAGTTAGAAAAGAAATAGATTTTCTCATAATTTTTGCTCTAAATTTTTTTGAAATATACGTTTGTGAATCAGACATAATACCACTATTATTAATGGATTGTCAATTGTAATTTATTTATATTTCTTATTGTTTATTGTATTTAAAAATACAGGTATTATTTAATTAATGAATGGTTAATTTAGTTTTGATATTTTTAAGTTTTTTCTATTTTTGAATCTTAAAATAATAAAATGAAAATTCAAAACTCATCCTTAACACCAAATTGAGTTTTAATAATTTCCAGCCTAACTATTTATTTTGAATTTTGACATTCTTTAAATCGAAGTAAATTTACTTTTGTACATTCAAACCTTTTATCAATTTAGTGTTTGATAAAAAATCCTGAATTTAAAAAAAATAGTTTTGAATACTTAAGTCTTTTATAAGATAAGTTTTGAAGGGATGAAACAGTGTTGCTGGAAGCCAAAAAATTAAATTAAAAGTTTGTCTCTTCATCTTGAATGCTAAAACTAGAATTGCACACATTTGCAAACTTTCTTTCAAGCTCTCTTTTTAACTCAGTTAAAAAAAAAAATTTCTTCACATAACATGTTTGTATAAAGATATAAAACAAAAACCTTCTTCACTGTTTTGTAAATATAAAATAAAAGTTTTTCCAGTATAAAAAAAATAAAAAAGTATTTTAAAAAAAGCTCCGTCTTGCAAAATAATAAAATTACTTACTTGTAAAAAAAACACTTAGTTTTAAAAATATTATGCACTTTGTCTGTCTTCTAAAAATAAAAAAATAAATGTCTAGTGAGTAAAATATAGAAAACACTGTCCTGTAAAAATAAAAAACACTGTTTTGTAGAGATAAAAAAAAACAGTGGGATTTAAAAATATGATGAACTCTGTCTTCAATAATAAAAAATAAACACTCTCTTGTAAAACTAAAAAAACACCGTCTTGATAAGATAAAAATAAATATCTTGTTAAATTTTTTTAGTATGGTTGTGAAAAGTTAAACCGATTCTGAAAAAATTTCTTCGAATAAAAAAAAACAATTCTTTAAAATTTCTTCATATTTCAGGGTTAGCTTAAAGGGAGTGACCGGCTATGTAAGGTAGTTAAACTGAGTATGCAGTGTTGAGGAAAACTTCTTTCGGATTCATTTGAGACATATAAAACTTTACAAAGATCTGTAAATCCTGAGTTCAAGGGCAAATTCGACGTTCAAAAGTCCTACTTTGGGGTTGGATACGTTTTCTGAATTAGTTTTTCTTTCATTATTATTAGATTATTCTGAAAACGTAACCACCCCCAAAGTAGGAGTTTTGAACGTCGAATTTGCGCTAAAACTTAGGATTTACAGATCTTTAAAAATATGTCTCAAATGAATCCGAAAGAAGCTTTCCTCAACACTGCATACTCAATTCAAGTACCTTACATAGCCGGTCACTTCCTTTAGCTTAAGAAGCACTATTTTATGATTAAATGTTATTTTTGGTGCTCTGGGGGAAATAAATGAAAGAATAGAAATCTAAAAACAATATTTTTTTCCTTTTTGATACTTTTATTTAAAATTCATTTGTTTCCCCACAAATTATTTATTTCCCCCAATTCAGCGAATACAAACCTGAAAAATCTTCTTAACGTCTGGCAAAAAACATAATTTTCTTAATGCAGTGGCTTCAGTGAAAGTTTTTTAAAGAAAATATTCCAAATTCTTGAAATAATATTATTCTAGGATAAGAAAACAGATTCCGAATATTCTACAGTTAAGGTTAGAATAATTAACGAAAAACAACAAGCTCTTGACTCTAGTTACATCTCTTGACTCTAGTTACATCTCAAGTTCGTTTTTTTTTTCTTCATTTCCTTCATGCATCATTTGTAAAGGACCAATTTCGTTCATTTCTTTTAATTATTTCAAAAAAATTTGTTCATTTTCAAAATTATCGTTCGTTTTCCGAGTATTCCGTTAATTTTCTTATTGAACAATCGTTTTGTAATAAGAGATATATTCGAAAAATCGTTTGTTTAGCAACTTAAAGTGATCGTTTTTTTAAAGTTTGTTTAAGAAACCGTTTGTTCATTGAACAAACCATGGGCTGTTGAAAATCTTTTAGAAAATTTTTTCTTTCAGCAAAAGACGATCTCGTTTTTTTCAAGTTTGTTCTCTCAATTTTCAATCGTTTGTGTTTGGATTTTTTCAATCGTTTTGAAAGCAAACTATCATTTTTTTCATTTCTCTGAACGATATAAGTCGTTCGTACATTGTTTTTCTTTTCTGAACTTTCTTCTTTCTTAAATTTTTATCATTATCAATTTTCACTATACCGTTTCTCTGAACCATGCTTCTCAGATTTCTATATCTGAACTTTATGTGAAATTAAAGCATAAAAAAGAAAATTAATTAATGTAAAAATCTAATAATGGTTAGTTCTTGAAATTTGTTTATTCTTTAAAAACCTCTTGATTAAGCACTCTTCAGATCTTAAATTTTATGTTGGGTACTACTAGTAAATGCATTAACATCCTGCAACAGTTCAACAGTACAACAGTACAACAGTACAACAGTACAACAGTACAACAGTACAACAGTACAACAGTACAACAGTACAACAGTACAACAGTAAAACACTACAACAGTACAACAGTACAACAGTATAACAGTACACCAGTACAACAGTACAACAGTGCTACAGTACGACCTTACAACAGTACAACGTTACAACAGTACAAAAGTACAACAGTACAACAGTACAACAGTACAACAGTACAACAGTACAACAGTACAACAGAACAACAGTACAACAAAACAACAGTGCAACAAAACAACAGTACAACAACAACAGTACAACAGTACAACAGTACAACAACAGTACAACAGTACAACAGTACAACAGTACAACAGTACAACAGTACAACAGTACAACAGTACAACAGAACAACAGTACAACAAAACAACAGTGCAACAAAACAACAGTACAACAAAACAACAGTACAACAGTACAACAGTACAACAGTACAACAGTACAACAGTACAACAGTACAACAGTACAACAGTACAACAGTACAACAGTACAACAGTACAATAGTACAACAGTACAAAAGTACAACAGTACAACAGTACTGCAGTACTACAGTACTACAGTACAACATTACAACAAAACAACGGTACAACAGTACAACAGTACAGCAGTACAACAGTACATTAGTACAACAGTACAACAGTACAACAGTACAACAGTACAACAGTACAACACTACAACAGTACAACAGTACAACAGTACAACAGTACAACAGTACAGCAGTACTACAGTACAACATTACAACAGTACAACGGCACAACAGTACAATAGTACAACAGTACAACAGTACAACAGTACAACAAAACAACAGTACAACAGTACAACAGTACAACAGTACAACAGTACAACAGTACAACAGTACAACAGTACAACAGTACAACAAAACAACAGTACAACAAAACAACAGTACAACAGTACAACAGTACTACTGTACTACAGTATAACATTACAACAGTACAACGGTACAACAGTACAACAGTACAGCAGAACAACAGTACAACAGTACAACTTAACAATAGTTTAGTATTACAACATAAAAACAGTAAAACAGTACAACAGTACAACAGTACAACAGTACAACATGTTAACTGTTCAACAGTTCAACAGTTCAACCGTACAACAGTACAACAGTACAACAGTACAACTTTACAACAGTACTACAGTACACCAATACATCAGTACAACAGTACAACAGTACATAAGTTCAACGGTTCAACAGTTCAACAGTTCAACCGTACAACAGTACAACAGTACAACAGTACAACTTTACAACAGTACTACAGTACACCAATACATCAGTACAACAGTACAACAGTACATAAGTTCAACGGTTCAACAGTTCAACAGTTCAACAGTACAACAGTACAACAGTACAACAGTACAACAGCTTACAACCGTTTTTAAGACATGGAACACAATGATATTTTTCGGAAGCGCATTAAAATACCATTATTGCACTCTTTTGTACATTTAACAAAGTTTTAAAGAAGTAGCGAGCAGAACTTTTTAAAATGCCAAACCAAACCAATCCATCTAGGTTAGCTGTGTTCCACTGTACACAATGCTACTTGCTCTAAACAATCCGACTGTTCACTATTTCTCATTGGATATAGAAGGGGCAGAACTAAAGGTATTTTTTTGATACAGTGGTAGGCGATTATATCAATATAATGAAGACGGCTTTCAATTTAAATTTTTATGTATATCAAGCGTTTGAACAACATTGATACATAAAAACATGAAAACAGAGAGAACCTGTCAATTTAAAAAAAACGTATCTTCAATTAAGCTTATTTTTTATTACAGTGAATCCCAGATATATGAATACATATAACAAGAGTTTTTTATAATGTCGTATTACATGTTCAAGATCAAATGCCGCGGAAAAATGAGTTTAATAAAGCCCTGAAATATGAATGCAATTGATATATTAATATTAAACTCACTTTTCCGCGGCATTGGTTCTTAAATATATAATACGAAACTCCTTTGGGCCTCTGCCACAGGGTTATTGTACACGAAAGTCTCATTAATCTTAAAAAGACGACATATAGTGTTCTATCTGTTTTGTTATTTATCTATGTTTAAATGTTATTCATAATGAGCTGCGGTCGACTTAATTCTTATTGGGACATTGTCAGCTTAATTTAAGCCTTTTCTTTATAAAATTTGATTTTAGTGACCAAAAAAATAAAACTTTACTGAGTTAAACTTATTACATGAAATGAGTACGTTTTCAATTGAATAATTACATTAAAAAGCTACCTGATCATTAACAATATACTAATTTTAAAATATTAATGAATAAATATTATCACTATGTACATAGATAATTTGAAATTAAGTTTTAAGAATATTAAGATTGTGTCAGCACATTTTGCATACAGTCTATTATTGTAACAAGATTAATGGCATTGAAATACAGTTGATTTATCTGAGCTGCTTTGTCCAAATTACTTTCATATTAAATTTAATTTTTATTAATTTTGAGGTGTTAAAAACAGTTCCTTGGAACCTGGTGGATATCTGGTTGCTGGGTATAGAGTCTAATCATGTTGGAGAACTAGACAGTATGGAATCAAGGTCTTGGTACATTTTTTAGTATCTTATTTTAAACTGATCTGTTGCCATGCTAATTGCTTAAGATCACAATTAGTGATCTTGAAGGCATACACCTATAACCTTTAGGCCTAAGGAACTGATTACTTCCTCAAGTTTTTTAATCTCTATATAGATATCATGACATTTAGAATGGTGAAATCTGCTCTATCATTTGATTCAAGTTTAAAATTGGTTTATCATTAGAATTTACAGTTATAGGAATTGAAAATTTTGAGTTTCTGAGTTTTTTTGTCGCAAAATTCTAACATTGTAATGAGTGTAAAGATTCCACCAAAATCATTCATCCCTTTTCATCCAATTTGAACACAAAATGACTGAAATAACAAAATGATCTTTGAAAGTTTGTAGTTTTGTCTAGGCCCGGTGTTGTTCAAAACCATAACTACCAGCGAGAATGTAATTTGTGTAAAATGTTTTAGATCTGATATTATTGAGTTTATGGTTGCTCAAGGATATAGACATATTGGAACTGTTGGTATAGATGACTTCTTTGTTAAACCAGACAAGGTACATACAGTCAATAAATCAATAAATCACTCAATCACTCAATCAATTAATCGATAAATCGCTCAATCAATCAACCGATCAGTCAATCAATTAATAAATAAATTAGCACAATCAGTTAATTTGAAAATAACTGATGTAAATGTGTTAATAAGTATGAAATGAGTCTTGATGTTTGTGTGTTTATCAAGTGAGCTCTTACAATAAAATTTTGTTGAAGACGACATTTTAACAGTTTTTCCTGGAAACTGTTTTACAATGATCCAATCAATTTAAAGAAAGTTGTATTTAATTACAAAATAAAATGGGAAATATTTTGTCTTAGAATTTGACACTGTACAACATATTTGATAATTTTGAGGGTATAACATCAGATTATATTTAGGAAATCTCAATTAGGAGAAAATAATAATATTTTTGTTTTTAGTGTTTTATTAGATTTTCAATTTCACAAAAGAATCTTGCTCAGTATAAAGACGATATTTTTCAGGTTTACTTAACTGATAAAATATTTCAGGTTCATGTAACTAATGAACTATTTCAGGTTCATGTAACTGATGAACTATTTCAGGTTTATGTAACTGATGAACTATTTCAGGTTCATGTAACTGATGAACTATTTCAGGTTTATGTAACTGATGAACTATTTCAGGTTTATGTAACTGATGAACTATTTCAGATTTATGTAACTGATGAAATATTTCAGGTTTATGTAACTGATGAACTATTTCAGGTTTATGTAACTGATGAACTATTTCAGGTTTATGTAACTGATGAACTATTTCAGGTTTATGTAACTGATGAACTATTTCAGGTTTATGTAACTGATGAACTATTTCAGGTTCATGTAACTGATGAACTATTTCAGGATTATGTAACTAATGAACTATTTCAGGTTTATGTAACTGATAAACTATTTCAGGTTTATGTAACTGATAAACTATTTCAGGTTTATGTAACTGATGAACTATTTCTGTATCTACAACAGCTTCGACAAAAACAGTATTATGCATTAAAAGATCAATAGTGAATTAAGTCCTTTATTACAGCTATAAATATTGTTAAAAATGTGAATATTTGTGATAAGATTTAAAATAGATATCTTACATTGTTTTCTAAATTATTATTATCATATCGATATCTGAAAACAATGGAATAATCGTCGTCTCCTTTAAACTAGAGAGTCTCTTTTAGATACGGTGGTAGGCGATTATTTTAATATAATGAAGACGACTTTTGATTTCAATTTTGATTTATATCAAACTTTTACACAGCATGGATACACACGAACATAGAAACAAAGAGAAGCTGGCAACCAAAAAAGCTTCTCTTTAATTACGTTAACACTTGTAATTCGAAAAAAATTTGTTGACAATTAAAACTTAAGTAAAAAAGTCGTCTTCGTTATATTTATAGTATCGCCTACCACCTTGTAGTATCGCCTAACCTCCCCCTGGATTTTACATTACTCCGAAGGCTTTTGGCCTGGTACAGGTCATCTATGACCACCGACAACGACAGATTAGTCAAGCTGGAAAGAATGGCAATTCATCCAAAGAGGCTTGCCTCAATTTCGGGTAACAGTATTCTAAATGCCTTTTTCAAGCGGCCCAAGAATATTAAATTATCTAGATTGGAAAGATTTTAAATTTTTTTCTATTTTGAACAAAATTTCCTTTCTTTACTTTCAGCCTTTTTATGGCATACTTTTATTTTTAACTCTAAAAATAAACATAAAAATTAGCATGATGAGCATTATTTACTAAAAGATCAATAATAATAGCAGGAAATAAAAAAAAAAATCTTCCTTCATTAGAGAATAAGTGTTAATGTATAAAGTTTAACCAATAATATTTCTTATATCGTTTTTAGATAAATATATGGATTATTAAGACATTTGCCTACCCTATACTATAAAAAAACTGTAATTTTTGTAGGATTAGGAGGGCGGTAAATAGAATTTTTTTTGGGGGGGGGGTATATTTTTTAGCCCACTCCCTTATCTTAAATCCTGAAACCACCCTTGCCAATCACTCATTTAGTCAAAAAATGTTTACCCCATAGATAAAGATAGATTGCGCATAAGACGACATTTTTCAACAGATATGTTTGAAATATGTTTCAAATTTGTAGTGTTTATTTATTAAAAATGTCTTCATTGTCTATCCAGCATAAATTCTACTGCAGTCAATTTTAAATATTTGAACCAGGCTATTATCGCTCTAATCAAAAGGTGAGGCAAATCGGTCCAGAATGTATGATCTAACAAACAAATAAAACGTAAAAGTTCGTTTTTTAAATCGACCCGCACCACCACTTTATACACATACATATGTATAAACAGTTTGTTTTTAATCTTTGTGACAGAAACAATCTCAAGGAATAATAATTGTCTTAAAACATTTTTTTTAAAAGTGAATATTTGCAAATTAAAAAAAATGAAAAAATCAATAGATTTACTTAAATCTATATATAAATTTGGCTTGTCTGTTTGTTTGTTTGTTTGTCTGTCTGTTTGTATCCAATAAACGTCAAAACGGCTGAACCGATCGGGCCCAAATTTTTTGTGGGACATCTAGGGACCCCANTAAATCCCTGTCTTAATCCTATATTTTTGTTCCTAACTCCTGAACAATCTGTTTATTGTTCCTAAGCCCCTGCCACAATTAAAAGTTGAAATAGAAGATGGGCGCGAATCGCCCTAAAAGCCTAGAAATTCAGGGCGCGAATTTCGCCCTGAATTTCTAGTATATACATATTATTGCATATTAATGAAGAATTTGTGGAAGACGATACCTGGCCGCCTAAAACAAGTTCCACAAGATTCACCGGAATGAGATAGAACGGATACGGGGCATTGTACTTTCGGTCTAACGCGTGTGATCTTGATATTAACACATTTCTGAACCCTCTAGTAAAAGTTATGAGAAATATATACTGGAAGTTACTTCATGTGTTTCATTAGAGATCGACCTTATACGTCCTCTATAAATTATTAATTAATGCTATGATTTTCATGTTTCTCTTCGTTAAAGAATGTTTTAGACGTTCAGCAGATTGACATTAATTAGTCAGATTCACTGGAACCCAATATTAACTTGATATTTTGTGGATCTAAGACTTCATAATTGCTTCTGAAGATTATGTTATGTGTTTTCTCTAAAATTATGCATTGCAATGAACCAACCTACGTAAATCTTACTTTCCTAGATGTATAATTACGTTGTTTAGAATAGAGAATAGAGATTAAAAAGATTTCAGAACGATTAAAAAAAATTTAAGAATATAATTCAAAGCTTTTAAGGGTCACTTGAAATTATTTATAAAAGGATTAAAATATTGCCAAGTTTCACACTCTCTAATTTTGTTAAGACAAATTCGAAAATATAAGGAAGACGATTTTACAGACTCAAATGCCATTGACTATTCTCAAGACGTGTGTATCTATTTCCTCCATGAAGCGCCGACATGTCACCCTCGCTCCTTCGTTCCCCCCTCACCCCTCTACACATCTCAGCCCAGCAGTCAGCCTGAAACACTCAAGACGATCACAACGCCGTCTCAACCCTGACTCCTTTATGATGGTGATTCAGATACCGAGATAGATGCAGACTCTGCTTACATCTAGCCCCACAATGCTCCAGAGATCAACATTATCATGCATCACAGAGACAACATAATCGCTCAATGCACACGATAAAACCGCGATATCTCTCCCATATAGCCTGAAACCTGGTTGTGAGCAAACCTGCTGTGATTGAAGATCTGCACCACCAACATGAAGCTTCACAAATATGTTCCTACTGATGTTCGTCAATAGTTTTCTTTGTTCATTTTTAACCAACCAATTTTACTCAGCCTTATGCAAATATTTCAAAACTTTCGGTTTTTTAAATAAATGTTAGAAATATCCATTTTAGATCTCTTTGTTTTATTATAGTGACTTTTAAAGTCAACAAATTTCTATTTTATTAATTTTGGTCCCTTAATTTAAACTTTTTGTAACTGGAATTGGTTAATTGAGTGTAGTATAATCGTTATCATACTCGTATGTTTATATTGTTTTATATGTATGGAATAAATCTCCAGTTGTTTAATTCTAAGCTTAGAATATCAATTTTTGACAATTTGCCTAAAAAGTTACATTTTGCGTAAAACTTGCGGTTTTGCGCAAATTGCACAAAAAATTGCGCAAAACTAAAATTTCGTTTTATGCGCAACTTTCGCAAAAAATATTTCCGGTTTTGCGCAAATTGCGCAAAAAAATAGCGCAAAACTCATTGCGTTTCATGCGCAAAAATAGCGCAAAAATTCGCAAAAAAAATTGCGCGAAAATAGCGCAAATTTTGCGCAAAAGATTTAGCCATTTCGTGGAAACCCTACTTTTAAATTCAAATATGCATACCGGCGATATGTATGAGATGGGGAGGGGGGGGGGATCCAAGAAAATCCTGATATATAAAGTATAAAATCTATATAAAGAAAAAGAATTTTGTCTGTATCTGGCAACACTTGTCTTAGATATGAATCTGAAGAGAAAACAAAGAAATAAACTGAACCGGAAAAAACTGAACCGGAAATAAACAGAACCGGAGATAAACTGAACCGGAAATTAACTGAACCGGAAACAAACTGAACTGGAAATAAACTGAACCGGAAATAAACTGAACTGGAAATAAACTGGACCGGAAGTAAACTGAACCGGAAAATAACTGGACCGAAAAACTGACAAAATAAGAAAGCTTTTCTTTCAATTTAGCTTTTTGGAATATGCATGATTTTTTACTGATCTATACGGTGCAATAGTGCAATATTCTCAAACAAGCGAAATTCCTTGCTAATCATGAGACAACTTGAAAGTCGTCTTCTATCTTTAAAAGAATTTGAGACATTTTTTATTCAACCTAATTATGTACACAAAACCATGCACAACACTTTTCTGTTTAATTAATTTGCGTAAATGAGTAAATTGCTAAAAAAAAGTTAGAAAACTACTTTCTCTTGCAAACTGTGCTGTGCAAAAATAGTTCCCATTCTAAGATTTCATAAATACTAAAAATATTTTTTCTCTATCATCATATGGTTTAAATTGAAATGCATTTAGGTTTTAAAGAATAAATTCTTTACTTTGTTCATTAAGGCGCTTCTTAATTAATGAACATTAAGTTTCTAAGAACACATCCTAATAGCCACCTCTTCACCATTTGTTAGAAAACCATAATTAATTTTTAATTGATAAACATTTGATCGAAAATTATGCACTGCAATGTTCCTAAATTTTTGCGAAACAACCATCAAAAGTTTACGCTAATTTCAAGTAATTTTGCGCAATTGCACAAACTTCCGCGGAATTATTCTAAGGCCCCCCCCCCCGGCCTCACACCCGTGTATCTGAGGTTCTGGTGCTGTTTATATAATTTGGCTGAAAGAATGGGTTTATCTAGATTCCTAGACTATAGTAGAAAACAATATTCCTACCTCGCAACATCAAATGTTTCCATCTATCAAAAAAAAAAGTTTTATCTAGCAAAATATCCTGAATTTTGATTCAATATTAGGAAACTTTCGGAGTTAGCATTTTAGATATTTCTGAAGTAAAAGGAATAGCAAAGACAACATTTATTCCACAATTGATCAACATATTTTTCTTTTTCTCACTGGTCACTACAATGTTGGTTAACAATCAGAATTTAAAAGAATTTTGTGTGTGCAGTCTTATTATATACAGGGTAACTCACTAACAATGAGACTATAGAGACGACTTTGACTGTAACAGTTTCTTACTTTATCCAATCATTGAATACGCACTTATTCTAAGAGTTTCAGGTCGTCTTCACAGCTTATCATTTGTGGGTAACCTTGATTTATATTTGGATTTACGCATCTTTAAAATTTCAGAAATGCTTTTTATTGTACTTTCTTTGCTGTCATCAGGTAAACTTTGCTAGAACATTTAAAGAAAATAAAGAAATATAGATGCATGCAATGCAACACTGAAATCTTCCTGGTACAATCCCGTTTTTCCTTCTATAGTCTGCAGTGTACTTTTCAACTTGCCCAAGCTTCCTTGAAGTCGGCCCGGTAATTAAAAGAAACTCAGCTTTGCCTGTTGATTCTCTGAAAGTTCTGTATTTTTAACCTTCTCTATAGGTCTGTACTTTGAAGTAATGTTTTCCCCATGAAGTTAACACAAAGAATCGGTTTGCGGAATTTTTTATATTTTTTATATCTACATAAACAAGTTTTTGTGTTTTTTAATCAAAACTAATTGATTAGATTGACAGAAGTGTATTAGTTAATTTAAGAAAAACAAATTACCAATTTTTAAACTCTAATTCAGTGACGACATCAAATAAACAATGATATATCTAATGTATGTTTACTATTTGATGTACATAGTACTTACATCATGTTTTGATAGATAACAAGATGCGACCAATCAATAATACAAACAGAAATAAAAATAAACTCATCTTTTTATCAAAATAATATTAGGATCATCAGTTTAAGGAGTTTGTATTTCAGGAGTTTGTATTTCAGGATTTTGTAATTTAGGGGTTTGTACTTCAGGAGACTGTATTTCAGGAGTTTGTATTTCAGGAGCTTGTATTTCAGGAGTTTGTATTTCAGGAGTTTGTATTTCAGGAGTTTGTATTTCAGGAGTTTGTTTTTCAGGAGCTTGTATTTCAGGAGTTTGTATTTCAGGAGTTTTTATTTCAGGAGTTTATATTTCAGGAGTTTGTATTTCAGGAGTTTGTATTTTAGGAGTTTGTAATTCAGGAGTTTATATTTCAGGAGTTTGTATTTCAGGAGCTTGTATTTTAGGAGTTTGTATTTTAGGAGTTTGTATTTCAGGAGTTTGTAATTCAGGAGTTTGCATTGAAGGAGTTTGTATTTCAGGAGTTTGTACTACAAGAGATTGTATTTCAGGAGTTTGTATTTGATGACTCATTGCCCGGTTTTCTTATATTTCTAATCTACAGAAACAAGTTTTTTTTTAAACTTAAAATTTCTTTTCAGTTGAAGCATTGTCCTGTGTTCAATGCACGACAGAGGAAAATCCAGGAATTTTTTTTTATAATTTTTTATCATTAAAAATATATATAGAAAGTACAAAAATACCTTTAAAAATGTTCAATATGATTGATCATTAAATTGTGGTAATAAATATAAATGTCTGTTAGTGTCATCAAAAAGGTTCTTTAAGGTTGTCTGTGGTTTATCTTTCAATGCAGTTTTATCAAAATTAAGCTAATTAAAAATGTTTTAAACGCAAAAATCATTGTTTCGTTTTTGTTGTGAGTATTTTGGACTCACGAGTATTAAACATTTTAGGAACTTTAACTGAAACGCGTAATTTCAAATGACCCCTTCCTTTAATTGAAGTTGGACCGATTCACAATGGTACCCTTTAAACCTTTGACTGATCAATGATTCACAATGGTACCCCTTAAACCTTGAACTGATCATGGATTCACAATGGTACCCTTTAAACCTTTGACTGATCAAGGATTCACAATGGTTTCCTTTAAACCTTGGAATTATCAAGGATTCACAATGGTACCCTTTAAACCTTGGACTAATCAAGGATTCACAATGGTACCCTTTAAACCATTGACTGATCAAGGATTCACAATGGTACCCTTTAAACCTTGGACTGATCAAGGATTCACAATGGTGCCCTTTAAACCTTGGACTAATCAAGGATTCACAATGGTACCCTTTAAACCTTGGACTAATTAAGGATTCACAATGGTACCCTTTAAACTTTGGACTAATTAAGGATTCACAATGGTACCCTTTAAACCTTGGAATTATCAAGGATTCACAATGGTACCCTTTAAACCTTGGACTGATGAAGGATTCACAATGGTACCCTTTAAACTTTGGACTAATTAAGGATTCACAATGGTACCCTTTAAACCATTGACTGATCAAGGATTCACAATGGTACCCTTTAAACCTTGGACTAATCAAGGATTCACAATGGTACCCCTTAAACCTTGGACTAATTAAGGATTCACAATGATACCCTTTAAACCTTGGACTAATTAAGGATTCACAATGGTATCCTTTAAACCTTTGACTGATTAAGGATTCACAATGGTACCCTTTAAACCTTGGACTAATCAAGGATTCACAATCCAATGAATCCTAACAAATTTGTCCACAATACTACATATTCAGTTCAACCACATTACATTACCGGTTTTACAAGCCACTTTTTACTCAAACTATAAATGATTCAGTGCCTTCAAATTGCACTGACTTCACAGAAAATAATCAAAATAAGAAGTTTATTATGAGACAAATATTACACAAGATATGAACAACACTTTTTATAATGTTTCCCTTCTGAATACTTTTACGCCGTCCTTATTTCGACCTTAAAGGCGGAATCAATCAAATTGAACAAAAAATTGTCAAAATTCATAAAAAATGTTTAGAACTAACAGTAATTTGATATTTGTGAAAATTTTGATGCAATTTTAAAACTTTGAATATTTAAGTTTGACTTTTCACTATGTTCACTTTATTGCCAATGAAATTTTATGAAAAGATTTTTATTTTTATTTTTATTTTCTGATTTTAAAATATATTTTTGCTTGTCTGTGGATTATTAGGAAAATCTAACATGGGAAAATAAGTCTTTAAAAATATAGAGAAACTTCTGTTTTCCCTAGAAAATCCGCAATTTCACAAAAAAATGAGTTTTCTGATTAAGTAGATTCAGGTATATTGTTTAGTGGGGCCTGCCATACCAAAATATTATGGGTTAAATTTTGTTTGACAAAATGTAAAATTTTTATGAATATTTTAAGAAAATGAGAAAATCCGCAAACTTTACAATATTTGCCATTTGTACTTTTTGGATTTTCCTAAACACTTTTCTTGAATCATCAGATATTTTCTGTTAAAATTCAAAAGACATTCGCTCTGTACACTTTTTCTAACCTAAAGCTTGCTCAGTGTTTACAGTTCCTTTAAGGTCTGAATCTTTATACCTAGCTTCTGAATTGTGTTCATAGTACAATAAAACATTATTCTTTATTTTTTTCGTAAATGATGCTTATATTCTATCCGTTTGATTGATTGATTGATTCTTGAAAATATACCAATCAAATAATATATTGTAATTTAAATTAATTGATTATTTTTCTTCGAACTTCTAACTGTCAATTCTAATTAATAAATAAAAACATTTCTCAGATTGTCTCCATCATCCACCACAATCAATTCAGGTATTTTCGAAAAATATTAAATTCAAGGGGGGGGGCAACAGGACACGTGCCCCCTCTATCTAAGTTCTACCTACGAAGGTGAAATAAAATTGTCTATTTTAATTTCCTTTTTTCAACCTGTTTCTTAACTTGATAGGTTATAGAAGAATAATAATTGCGTTTTCCGTCTGTTTTGTTGAATAATTTGAAAAATATTTTGCGAAAACCTTCATAATTATCCAGTCCATGATTATTGAAGGATAACACATCTGAATGTTAATTAGAATATCTGTATGCTAGGCTATCAGGGAGCTTCGCACCCATCTTCTGTTTTAACTTTTAATTGTTGCTCAATCTTTCAGTATTTTCTCTTTGATAAAATAATACATTTGTTTGCAGAATTGCAATATTTTTCTGATTTTTGAGATAATTTTGTAAAAATTTCAAATATCCATAAACCTTCCCTGGGATCATGTGATCCCACAAAAACAAATTGGGCCCGATCGGTTCAGCCGTTTTGACGGTTGTTTGTCACAAACAAACAAACAAACAAACACCCAGACAAGCAAAGTAGATAGATAGATAGATAGAGACAAGACAGGGTTAATAGGTTAATAAAAACTCAATGTTTATCTATTAATAAAACTACATAATCTGTCCCTATATCAAATATATGGAAATATTTGTAAATCTTATAAAAGTATTTATGATAATTTCGGAGAGGAAGATGGGTGGGGGGGGGGGGGTTGTAACCCTCCTGTTGTATTGTTTATAAAACTTATTAATTATGGTCAGACAAATAATTAAATACTTTTCCAATAAACTAACTCTCTTTTAATAATTCTAAATATTGAGCATATGCTTCTTAAAATATTTATAAACGATTAGATATTTCAGACAAAATTTACATTCTTCAAAATTCATACGTTCATGGGTTTTAAACAAAACCAGAATAGGTTTATCTCAAAATATTCAAAATATCCTTAAATTTGGGCTTATCACCATAACAAAGTCTGTTTTGCTGCTGAAAGATGTTTTCTGTGGCCCATAGATTCCAATTTTTTTTGAGAATAAATAACATTTCGACTCTACAGGGCTGGATTTAACACGAACCTAAGGCCGAATTTAATGAATTTTAACCACGTTACTGAACAGGCAATCACTGTGGTTCAAAATCTTTAAATTCGGCCACTGTATGAATAAGTTTTAAGATTGTTGCATATTTTAACATGTAACTATCCAACTGTATAGTGTGCACATGAAGCAGAATTTTGTCTTGTCCTGAAGGAATATGAACCCAATAGACAAGGTAGATAATTTGATAAAAGAGCATTGTGTTAAAAACAAGAGATTTAACTCTTTTGATTAATTCCATAAAGGCCGTGCAAAAATTACAAATATTTTCAAATTAATTCTTCAATATGAAGAATTTTCAAATAATTGTTTTTTTTACCTTTTGACGTTAGCCTTTTGTTTAACGTTTTCTGAAAGAGAACAGCTTATCAAATACGTAACAAATTTATAGAAAAAATATAACTATACAAAAAGACACAAAAATTTGAGAAAATTTATTATTTACATGAAAAACAGTTTGATTTGTAGCAAGAAAATTCTTTATATTGTTACTAATCAGATGTCTTCAATGCATACTTTTAAAGCACACAAAGGTTTTATAAAATTACCTATAACACTATTATTTTGGCACGATGTGCTATACAGTTTTTAGACTTTTCCATATATCGCGAAAGTTCTACACCTTTTTAGATTATATTTTGTACTTAGCTTTAGCTTTAGCGAGGGACAAAATATAATCTAAAAAGACAAGAACTTTCGCGATATATGGAAAATTTAAGGCTTGAACACTTGGTAGAAAACGACCGCCTGACCGTCATAACTGTTAATCTGCCACTTTTCCTTTTCCCAAGGGGGGTAATGCATGGGACATTAGTTCGAAAACTAACACTAAACTAACACATTTCTAACACTGAGTGTTAGAAATGGGCACAAACTGAAAGACTGGGTTTTTGGGAGCCCTGCGCATATCCAGAGAAAACGTTGATAATAAAAACTATAACCAATATTTTATTGAACATGACGAGGACAACAATTCCCAATTTAAACCTTTTTTTAAAACTCAGAATTACAATAGGAGTTCTTTTTATATTAAAACTCTTGAGTGTTTTCAAGACAATGTTAGGTTTCCTTTTTTCGAACATATCCTGAATTTGAAAAATTGTCGCGTTTTTTGCGTATATAATTCACAATTCAAAACAAAACTCACTTTCATAACTTACAAAATAACAGGTAAAAAATCAATTGGCCGGTCGGACCGGGCAGGGTCGAATAGAAACATAGATAATACAGATAGGTAAACTAAACATGGATAATAAAGATAAACGGAACATAGATAACAAAGATAGTAATAACATGATCTCAATAATTCGTTACATTCCGGTAATTGTCTCAAAACCAGGATATGTTCTGAAAACGCGAAATGAGCTGAAATCCGGTAATTGTTTCAAAACCAGGATATGTTCCGAAAACGCGACATGAGCTGAAATCTGGTAATTTTTTCAAAATAGGGATATGTTCGAAAATGAAATCAATAATCATCAAAAACTAATTCTCACACCTTATTATTAGTTTAAAATTGACATTTATTGTTTCAATATATAGTTTTAGCCATTTTTTATAAATATATGGTGTAATTGTGTTCTACTCGACTTAGATTTAAAGATATATACTCTTGAAAAAGATAACTTTGAAGATTTGGCCCATTTCTAACACTCAGTGTTAGAAATGGGCCAAGTGTTAGTTTTGGAACTAATATCCCCTGTAATGTTTAAATTTTAAAAAAGTTAACAATTCTTTTATATTTAAAATGTCCTGAAAAAATGGCACTGATTTTTCTTGAAAATTTTCAAAAACATTTTAATCTAAATTTTTAACTTTCATTGTTAAGATGACTCTGATGCTAACCAGGAGAACAAGGAGAATCAGGAGAATAATGAAAACCAGGAAAATGCTGGGAAATTAATGTTTTTAGCAAGAACCTGTGTACAGGTAGAAATAAATGCTCAGTAATACTTACTCCTTACTCTTCCTCAGCATGGACTTGCTTTGGTCATGCTTTGACTTGCTTGGTCTTCTTGTTTGGTCTTGCTTGGTCCTGCTTGGTCCTGCTTGTCCTTGTTTGGTTTTGCTTGGTCTTGCTTGGTCTTTCTTTGGTCCTGCTTGGACTTGCTTGGTCTTGCTTGGTCTTGCTTGGTCTTGCTTGGTCTTGCTTGGTCTTGCTTTGGTCCTTCTTGGTCCTGCTTGGTCTTGCTTGGTCTTGCTTGGTCTTGCTTGGTCTTGCTTGGTCTTGCTTGGTCTTACTTTGTCTTACTTTGTCTTACTTTGTCTTACTTTGTCTTACTTTGTCTTACTTTGTCTTACTTTGTCTTACTTTGTCTTACTTTGTCTTGCTTGGTCTTGCTTGGTCTTGCTTGGTCTTACTTTGTCTTATTTTGTCTTACTTTGTCTTACTTTGTCTTACTTTGTCTTACTTTGTCTTACTTTGTCTTACTTTGTCTTACTTTGTCTTGCTTGGTCTTACTTTGTCTTACTTTGTCTTAGGTACAGGTACTGGTACTGGTACAGGTACAGGTACAGGTACAGGTACAGGTACAGGTACAGGTACAGGTACAGGTACAGGTACTGGTACTGGTACTGGTACTGGTACAGGTACAGGTACAGGTACAGGTACAGGTACAGGTACAGGTACAGGTACAGGTACTGGTACTGGTACAGGTACTGGTACTGGTACAGGTACAGATACTGGTACAGGTACAGGTACAGGTACAGGTACTGGTACAGGTACTGGTACAGGTACAGGTACTGGTACAGGTACTGGTACAGGTACTGGTACAGGTACTGGTACAGGTACAGGTATTGGTACAGGTACTGGTACAGGTACAGGTACAGGTACAGGTACAGGTACACATTTACACTTTCCTTGTAAATCTGTATGTTTTAAATTGTATTTTAAATTAAATTTTAAGGAAGATTTAGGGACTTCGTGTAATCCAGGATTCAAGGTAAACATATTATTGACATATCTGTTTATATTTCATAGAATTTGAATGTGCTAAAAAAATAAAACAATTTTTTAAGCTGAAAATATAAGAAAATTAGCTGAAAAGAAAAAATTAATCTAAAGTCGAGAAGAAAAAATAATTCAGCTTAACCCTATTCCGATTGGACTATTTTTGCCAAATACAGAGGGGAAAGGGTTTCCCCCCTATTCCGATTGGACTATTGTTGTCCAATACAGAGGGGGGGGGGGTCTTTTTAGGTAAATTGATTAAACAAGAAGCAGATGTAAACCCAAATGTTTGACAGTTTAACAGTCGACTCTGAACTCTGAATCTTATCCATAGAAATGCTTGGATTTAATAAATGTGAAAATGTTTTCAATCTGACCAAACATTTAAGAGGGCTTAATACTCTTTACACGACGACCGAACCCAAGGGAATTTTCTTGGGGCCTGGGTGTGCGTTAAAGCTGAAAATCCACCAATTAAAAAGCAGAAAATCTGCGAAATTTTACAATTTTTATTCTTTTAATGTATTTTTTCAGATACACGTCAACCCACGTCAACTCAGAATTTTTAAACCAGGCTAATTATATTCCCGTAGTTCTACCGAGTTCCGTCAATTAGGATTCATAAGATCAGACAAACAAACAAAGAAAAGATACAATGGTGGTATGCAGGTTCAAGTTCTGCACTGCTTTTCTTTTGTAGGGTGCACAAAAGAAATAGATAAACTAGTCATTTCTAGTTTTTCTTAATCTATTTCTTAATCCGACCTATATTATTATATAATGGTTTTACTTTATTTTTTCAGGGGAGCAGGGGTGTTACTGTGTGTAGGAAACATTGCAGGTGAAAAGTAAATAAAATCATTTAAAAAAAGAAAATTTTGGGAACAGACGCTTTCTATGAAAATATGTTAATAATTGTGTTTAAAGCTGTCAAATTAATCACTTTATATTACTCAAAAACACATATTTATTTGACATCTTTTGGACAAATAACAATTTTTCTATTACAATAAGATGAAAATCTTAAAAGCATTTTTAAAACATTATTTTAACTGTTTGAAAATTTGCCTATTTCAATTTTTTCAGACCGAACATTTATAATCATTTAAAAATCCTTTCTTCATTGTTGTTTTTATTATCTTATTTAGATTTGATGGATGTAATGTTGCACCTTCAAATTTGATATACACATTGTCTTTCTGTTTTAGTCTTTGTAGCATTGAAAAATATAATTTAATTTCCTGACAGATTTAATTGGATTTTTTTATTGCAGTAGCCATTAACTCAAAATAGTTAGTTAAAAGTAAGAAAACTTTTAGTTACTATTTTGAAAAAATTTCAGTGCAAACTTTAAAAAAATAATTTTAAAACACATTTGAAATGGCAAGGTCACTATTTTTACAAAAATGTATAGAAGTTCTCATATTTTGCGTAAAATTGTTGTGTTTTTTTGCTTATGGAGTAGTCATGTCAGTAAAGAAGCTTTCATATTATTTTTGCGATTTTTGGGAATGGTGCAAAAAAAATTTATTATTACAAAATGAGACGAAAAAAAGAATGAAAACTTTGATTTTAGAAATAACAATGTAAACACTTACTTACCCTGACACACAACTTTAAAGACGACTGTAGGTAATCTACAGAGGATAACTCGTTTTAATGTGTTTTTCTTTGCCATTGCAAAATCATGGATCCCGGCAATATACATGGTTAGTTTTTGAATCGTTCTAATTTCAAACTAACTTTCCTTTAATCCTATCCAAATTGGGCTATTTTTGTCTGATATATCTTTAATGGTTATAACCTTTATTATAGAAAAAAACGTTACATTTTTACAACGTTTATTTTACTCAATTTTGTGACATTTTGAATTTTTTCAGACGAGATTTATTCTCCTCCATGTTCACAAGTGTTTTGAATTCTGATGATTTTTTCTTGAATCAGCCTCTGTTTCGTTTTTCATCATTGCATTGTTTTTCTTCGTTATTTTTGAATTAGTTTCTCCTCTTCTTCTCCTCTTCCTCTCCTCTTCTTCTCCTCTTCTTCTCCTCTTCTTCTCCTCTTCTTCTCCTCATCTTCTTCTCTTCTTCTCCTCTTCTTCTTCTCTTCTTCTCCTCTTCTTCTCTTCTTCTTCTTATCTTCTTCTCCTCTTCTTCTCTTCTTCTCTTCTTCTTCTCGTCTTCTTCTACTCTTCTACTCCTCTTCTTCTCCTCTTCTTCTCCTCTTCTTCTCTTCTTCTTCTCCTCTTCTTCTCCTCCTCTTCTCCTCTTCTTCTCCTCTTCTTCTCTTCTTCTTCTCCTCTTATTCGAAACTTTCTGTTTTTTGTATGATAGCTAAACCAAACAATCTTTTTTAACTACGGTAGAAATTTAACCCTGGTAAAACAAATCTCTTAAGTTTCAGTTTCTGGCAACCAATTTCTTTTTATTCTTTAGCTACAGTGAAGACGACAGTGAAGACGACTTTAAATGCAATACTTAATTGCATTCATTGTTGTTACAAAGCAAATAGTTTTCATAGGCATGCATTTAACAATCAGGTGAAAAGGGTCTGTTTACACTGCACAATTGCTGTATTCCATGCTCATAGGACAATTTAAAGTCATAACTTTAGTCTTAAAGTAGTTTTCCCCATTCCAGAGTTTTCTGGTTATCACTGTAGCTTCCATTTTTTGTGTTAAAATCACATTATATCATTTGATCTAGAGCCATGCTGGAGCCACGAGCTTTCTTTTTATAATCTAGACTCTTTACTCTTAAATACTTTCATTTTAGAGCTACACTTTTATTACTCTAAACTCTAAAATTGCTTTCTATATTTTTTTAGATGCTTTTTTTTCTTTCGTTCTAGAGCCACTGTAACTTTCTGTTCTACATTCTGAAGCTCTATTTTCTTTCATTCTGAAGCCACCATTTAAAATTCTCGAGTCACTACTCTTTATGTTTTGTTTTCTAGCTTTTATCAACAAATGCATTATAAAAACGCGGTCACGAAATAAAAAAAGGAGTAGATTTGTGCAATATGTCTAAAAAAATAAAATATTTTTGATAAAACAACATTTTTATTAAAAACCATTTCTACCGAGGAGCTATGTATTTGACTAGTGGTAGTTGGTAAGGAGACGTATAAAACAACGTATATACAAAACACAGGTTAAATGACGAAGAACAAGGAAGACGATATTTATGAACAATTCCAGGAAAATGAACCCAGCAGAGTGCATTGTACTGTACAGTTGTACATGCTGATCTGTGCCAGACATAAAACTTGAAGGATTGTCAAAAATAACAATATCTGATAATGAACAAGAAAATCACAATTTTATTAAATGCGCAACTTTTATTGTTTGATATTGATATCTTATAAATCTATTATTTGAGCGGTTTTGTTTTCAGAATAATTATCAGAAAATATTAATCAGTCAATAAAAAAGGAGTTAAATCTCAGAAAGAAAGGAATAGAGTCTTGGCATCAAACTCAGATTTATGTTCCAAATATATTTGCAACCTGCTGAGGTTAACCTTTGATTATTTGAACAACAGAATTCATAATTTGAAATATGTAAAGTTTCCAGCATTGGATTGTAATGATAATAATGATGAGAAAACCAGAGTTTCTGACAAAGACTCATTTCCTTTTGCAGAAAAGTTGAACTCAGAAAGTGTGTGTTTCAAACAAATCCTTTTCAGCCTTACAAATTGGGATATCACCGTACTACGTGACTTGTAGGCTTAAATTGTAGCTGGAAGTTTGAGAGAAATGTTTATAAATTGCTAGAGATACAAGGCAAGAATAAAGTTGAACATGTTTGATATTTACCCCATCCTCCATCTTAGTTATAAGCAAGGTTCTTTAACAAGGTTGGTTACTCTAGATGCGCTCCAATGTACGGATAATGTCATCTCCTTAGCATAGATAGTATTCGCATTTTAGAGGCGAGCGTGACGTCATATGAGAATTCTTCAGGGTGTCCCACGAAACATGACAGGAGCAAGACGGCCTGAACATCAACTTTGATTTTTACTGCATTTATTTGTCAACCTAAATTTACAAGTAAAAACTAGAGAAAGTAGTCAAATTACCGTTAGTTCTGATATTTCCAACATGTGGTCTGCCTTTTTTTGTGCTTTAAATATTCCTCGAGATATGAAGAACTACATTTTGGAAGTTCCAGAACTAGGAGAATTTTGTGATAATTGTTTCAAGAATCATAAATGGTAAAGTAGGTTGACGACTGAATGTGACAAATAAATTCCAAGATCAAAGTTGACTTTCAAGTCACCTTCTACTGTTATGTTTCGTGGGACACCCTGTATCTTTCTATGTTTAAGAGACGACATTATCCGTACATAGGAGCGCATTGAGAGTAACCAACCTTATTAAAGAACCTTGGATCTAAGGGAATGCCAGAGCTTTTGTTGCATTGTTTAGCTGCGAGTGTGAGAAAAAAGCATCAAATATTTGTTGATTGGTCAGGCTTGTCTTATTTTCTATCCAGGGTTCGGTTTCTTTGTGGTAGTTTCTCCAGGTAGGTAGAGGGCGCCCAACCCTCGGAGTACGGGGAAGACGACAATCTGGAAATAATAGAAAATTATATGTCGTCGTTGTTATGTCTCACAATAAATTTCATTATGTTTGATAAGCACCAATGTGAACTGTAATAGCAATTTGTTACTATTCACAAAGTTTGATCCCCTGAAATTTTGCATATTAATTGGAAATATCACGTAATGCCACTTAGAAAGGATGTTGAAAATTAATAAAAAAAAACGAAAACATTATATTCTTCATTTTCTTTATTTTTCAAAAAAAAAGTCACTTAGGATTATCATTTTTAACAACAGTTACAAATTACAAATTAGAAAATTTTAAAAGTAAAAACAAATCCGACAATGATTCCACTTTATATTGGTTACCAACTGTAATTATTTAGAATTATATTTAACCTGACAAACCACCAACCAGAACATCCTATTTTTATCAGCTCAACAGTCTAAATATTATATTTTATCAGCTCAACTGTCTAAATATTATATTTTTATCAGCTCAACTGTCTAAATATTATATTTTATCAGCTCAACAGTCTTTTATCAGCTCAACTGTCTAAATATTATATTTTTATCAGCTCAACTATCTAAATATTATATTTTATCAGCTCAACTGTCTAAATGTTATATTTTATCAGCTCAATTGTCTAAATATTATATTTTTATCAGCTCAAGAGTCAAAAAATTTTATTTTTATCAGTACAACTGCAGTCTAAAGAAGTATTTTAAAGTGGCTGTTCTTGAAATCTCAAGTAAGGTTTATGTTCCTTCAATACAGTAAAAATGGCAAATGTGTTTAATTTAACGTAAAATTAAGCATAAAAAATGTTAAACAAATTGTAATGTATGTTTATTGAGTTGTTGATTTTGAAGAAAACAAATCATTTCTAAATGTTGATAGTGGGACCACTTTACATAAATCAAGTCACAATCATTATTAATTACCTCCCCCTCCTCTAGATTTAGCTCCCGGCCGGTCAGTGCCATATAGTCGGCCAAAACCTAAAATAAATTTTTTTATCAAGCTAAGTATGGAAATAAAATAAAATGTAACCTTTAATATTTGATGAAAAATTGCAAACGGAATAGGAGAGGAAATAATGATTGGTCGGTTATAAAATTAAAAAAAAGTCTGCCCACCTGATATCTTGGAAAGGTTGGAGCTTGATTATCTATTAATTCTTCACTTGAACTTCGATCCTATAAAAAAATTAAATAAAAACAGCTTTGAATTATTGTTTCCATTGCTTTTTATTGCTACAAAAATTTAATTGTATCCTATTGTTTGTTTGTTTGTATTCTATACACGTCAAACAGCTGGAAAAAAGCTTTAAAAATTACTAATTTCTGTATATCTATTTATCTAGATAGTTTTGTATATTGTGAATACCTGATATGGATCCAATGACCGAGATCTGTGCCTTCTTCCCCCACCTTGGTCCAAGGACTTAGATCTACTTAGATGGGACCTTCGGGACCTAAACATAGATGTATTGAACCTTCGGGGCCTACATATAGATTATTGGACCTTCGGGATCTAAACATACAAAGATATTGTGCACCTTCGAAACCTTATCATAAATATATTGGACCTTCAGGACCTTAACTTAGATATATTGGACCTTCAGGATCTTAACATAGATATATTGGACCTTCGAGAGCTTAACTTAGATATATTGGACCTTTGAGACCTTAGCATAGATATATTGAACCTTCGAGACCTTAACATAGATCTATTGGACCTTAACATAGATATTTTGTACTTTCTGGACCTTAACATACATATATTGGACCTCTGGGACCTAAACATAGATATATTAGACCTTTAGGACCTTAACATAGATATATTGGACCTTCGGGACCTTAACATAGATATATTGGACCTTCGAGACCTTAACATAGATATATTGAACCTTCGAGACCTTAACATAGATCTATTGGACCTTCGAGATCTAAACATAGATATATTAGACCTTTAGGATCTAAACATAGATCTATTCGACCTTTGGGACCTTAACATAGATATATTGGACCTTTAGAACCCTTTAGGACCTTTCAGCTGTCATGTTTCTAGGTACACCCTGTTTATAAGATCAGGAAGATGAATAGAATGTACGTTTATTGGTACACCCTGTTTATAAGATCAGGAATATGAAGAGAATGTTTCTAGGTACACCCTGTTTATAAGATCAGGGAGATGAATAGAATGTATGTTTATAGGTACACCCTGTTTATAAGATCAGGAAGATGAAGAGAATGTATGTTTATAGGTACACCCTGTTTATAAGATCAGGAAGATGAAGAGAATGGATGTTTATAGGTACACCCTGTTTATAAGATCAGGAAGATGAAGAGAATGTGAGGAATAAATTCAAAGTTTGTCTTCAAGTTACAGAATAGGAATAGATAGAGCACACAGAATTCAAAGCAGAACTTTATTTTATACTATTAGATACACATGCATAGGTGGATGGATAGGTGGATGGAAGGATGGATGAATAGATTAATGAATAAAAATATACTATAGGGTTAAAACTGAAAGGGTTATTATAAAGGCACACTATAGGCCTGAAAGGGTTATCATAAAGGTACACTATAGGGTTGAAAGGGTTATCATAAAGGTAAACTATAGGACTGAAAGGGTTATCATAAAGGTACACTATAGGGTTGAAAGGGTTATCATAAAGGTAAACTATAGGACTGAAAGGGTTATCATAAAGGTACACTATAGGGCTGAAAGGGTTATCATAAAGGTACACTATAGGACTGAAAGGGTTATCATAAAGGTACACTATAGGGCTGAAAGGGTTATCATAAAGGTAAACTATAGGGCTGAAGGGGTTATCATAAAGGTACACTATAGGGTTGAAAGGGTTATCATAAAGGTAAACTATAGGACTGAAAGGGTTATCATAAAGGTACACTATAGGACTGAAAGGGTTAACATAAAGGTACACTATAGGGTTGAAAGGGTTTTCATGAAGGTAAACTATAGGGCTGAAAGGGTTATCATAAAGGTACACTATAGGCCTGAAAGGGTTATCATAAAGGTACACTATAGGGTTGAAAGGGTTATCATAAAGGTAAACTATAGGACTGAAAGGGTTATCATAAAGGTACACTATAGGACTGAAAGGGTTATCATAAAGGTACACTATAGGGCTGAAAGGGTTATCATAAAGGTACACTATAGGGCTGAAAGGGTTATCATAAAGGTAAACTATAGGGCTGAAAGGGTTATCAAAAAGGTACATTTTAGGGCTGAAAAGGTTGTTTAAAAGATCTGCTACATATATGTGCTGATGGGTTGGTACAATGAAAAACTTTTTGGCTAAATGGGTTATCACAAAGGTACACTATAGGACTGTACAGTGTACAGTTTTTATGGAACACTATTGGGGTTAAAGTGTTATTTAAAAATAACACTAGAGCTAAAATGTTTTTATACCTGAGGGATTCTGACCCGGAAGTTGTGCTCATTGTTTCCGTAAACATGGCCGGATGCAAACTTCGTCGACTAGAAAAAATATGAAATATTTTTAAAAATTAAACGATTTTGTTAGAAATAAAGCAGAAGATTTGTATATAAAAATTAACAATGCTAGAATTATTATGACAATAGAATTAAAAAGTTATGATAGAAAAAAAAAACATTTTATTGCAAATCACAAATCAGATTTTTTTTACAGAATATAAAACTTAAAAAATAATTACCTAGAACTCTCTTTTTCTTTCTGTTCCACAATCACTTTCCTGGAAGAATGATTAACTAAAATATTGATTTAGATAATCCATTATTTAATTGTTTTGATATTTAATAACTTTCAGTTAAGGTTGGAAACAAAACTTAATTCAATTTTAGTTCAAAATCCCTGAGTTCCGCGGCAAAATCCTCTTTTTGTTTTTTACTCTTGGCTTCCAGAGTGTAGATATCAGCCTGCCCTGTCAACCACAATTCCATCTTCTTTTCTTCATTCTAAAAATACCAAATGTCGTCTTTCATAAAACAGCTGATTTTGCCACCATTTTATATTTTACGTCGTCTTCTTCAAAGCAGCTGATTTTACCACCATTTGTTACCTTGATAATACTTGACATGCCGAGGGTAGAGGTGGCCAAACTGAACTTAAAATGGTAATCTGATCCAGACTGTTTACAGAACACGATATGATTTTCATACAGCAGAACATGTCGTCTTTGTTGACGATTTCTAAAATAAATAAAAATAGTTCATTTTTCAATATTGTGTTGTTTGTCACATAATTTTTTAAACTGGGATCTTTTTTTCAAAATAACAGTAAGTTTTCTTTCATTTGTAATAATTATAGCAAAATTGTTCAGGCAAGAATAAAAAAACATTTAGAAAATAAAAATTGATTTTTAAATCTTACTATAAACATTTTCAAAAACACATGCATTACGGTGCGATACATTAATGAGCACCTAATGTTCATCGTAAATTTGACAAAGTATTTTACTTTTCCGACGTTTTGTCAATTTTTCGATTAAAAATCAAAATCTAAACAAATAAGTTTGTCAAATTTTGAACCTGGTTCGCCAAAATGTTGACATTTTTCGTGAAGAAATGTCGCCTTTTCGTTGCGAGGCCTCACTGCATTAATTAAGTAAAGGATGAATGAATGAATGAAAATTAATTTTGAATTATTCCTTTTGTTATATTTACTAATTATACTTCAGCCAATAGAATCAAGCTAAACAACTAAACAACTAAGTTTAATAAATTTTATTTTACAAGGTTTAATAAAAATGACATAATGGTGTATTAAAGAGTTAATGCAAACTTAATAATGTCTTAATTGAAATAATTGGCTCATCTCAATGAAAGCCAAACTGGCAAATGAAGAATTTACTGCATAAGAAACAGTGGTTGGAGTTTTTTTATTTAAATATTAATCTTTGTTGAAATTAAATATAAAAAATTTAAACTTACAGCAAACATTCAGGTTTATTAATTGTTATGAAAAAATGTATTACTTTTCTAGGACAATACAATTTCAAAAACAAAGAATATGTTCACTTTTTTATTGACAGCTTCTCTTTAGTTACATGTATAATTATATATGTCTCTGCTTGATATAAGCTTGAAATAGAAAGTCGTCATCATTGTATTGATATAAACGCTGACCAGTGTCAGAAATGTGTAAATACTAAGATAGAGCTGCAATGTGTTTACCTGAAAAGGATTTGACTTTGTGATTTGTTCTCAGTTAGAACAGCAAAGGTTTCCTGGCATACTAGAGATCCTAGGGGGTGCAGGATTTCAGGCAGTCCTAGATAGATAGATAGATAGATAAATAGATAGATAAATAGATAGATAGATAGATAGATAGATGGAGAGACAGACAGATAGATAGATGGAGAGACAGATAGATAGATAGATAGATAGATAGATAGATAGATAGATAGATAGATAGATAGATAGATAGATAGATAGATAGATAGATAGATAGATAGATACAGGGTGTCCCAAAAAACATGAGAATTCAGTGACATTAGGACTCATCAGTATGGCTGAATTTTTATAATTTTTGATTTTTGCAGTTGACTGGGCTTGAACCATAAATTCTTAGATTTTGGATCAAACACGCTAACCACTGCTCCATGAAACCCTGAGATAGATAGATAGATAGATAGATAGAAATGATTATTTTAGATTTTAATGATCATTAAAAAGTGTATCTTTTTGGTATTTAAAGCAAAGGAAGAAAATATCAGTATAAATATTAACAAAAAAATAAAAAAAATTTTCTCTATGTTTTATCTATAAAATACAACGAGACATTCGTTTTATGTTCCCAATAGCCGGCTAAACGACTGGACGAAATGAGCTGACATTTTTTGTGGACACACATGGATAAACTAGGGGTGACATTCTTAAAATTATTTATTCCATTTTTAAATTTTTTTTATTTTTACGGGCAACGCCGGGCCCTCCAGCTTGTTGTTTATTTTTGTATCCTATGTGTATGAAAAGAGAGGAGTGAAAGAACTGTTTAAAGGAAAATATAAGATTAGTTCAAACTCTTCAAGCTAAATTCTTAAAACTCACAATTCAGGTCTCTAAGTGCTAAAGTTTAGATGTTAAAAGTTACAACTCCCTCACCCATCATCCCCTCCCCCACCCCCCCCCCCCCAATTTTCTTCAAAAAGAAAGGGTATTTTTTTTCATGACTGTCATGCTTTTTTATCTTCTCAGTTTGTATAAATCCACCAATCGTTTTTTTAAAACCGCGGGCACAGAAAAGACGACATACCTTTTATATCAATTTGGTGCAAAGAGTCATTCACAGCTTTTATCATCCCTGACACACAGTATAGTTCAGTTAAGCGTGAAAATAAAAACAATAATATTTTTTGGGAGGAAAAAATAACGAGCAATTTGTTTTTCGTTAATTAATTACGATGAAAAACATTATTTTATTTTTTTATTTTTCGTTAAAAGGAAATATAATTTATCCAAACCATTCCTAGCACAACATCAACACATTCATCTACAAAAAAAAAATTAAAAATGAGAAATTACATATTTTTAGTTTATTATACAAGCTTTTAATTTTATTAAATATTTTTTTATAGGTTTGGAAATGTTGATAAAATTATGTGAGAATTATTTTTACAGTTTTGAATCTTTTAAAAAATTTCCAACCTAGCTCGAATTTTCCACTGGGATACGAACTGTCACTCAAATCCTAAAAAAATTTACTTTACAAATAATAAATCAAAGAAATTGAGTCTTTGGCACAAACTCAAATTTTATAATCCCTAAATCTTGGCAACCTTACTTCAAAATTAATTTTTTAATTCATAAATATCTAAGGTATACAACATTGTGTTGCAAAAAATATAGGGATTAGAAAATCAGATTCAAGTTATCAAGAAATTTTTGTAAAAAAATTTACTGTTTCTAACCTTTAGCAGAAGTTGGTATTTAGTTAATCGTTGCACAGGTTTCAATAAGTAAGCTAAAAAAGGGATTGATAAAAAAGTTTTAAAATAAATTATTTCTCAAACTTTATTAAAATTTGAAATTTAAAATTATAATATTTCTAACTTTCAAAAGAATTCTTAAATTAAAATAATTTTTTTTTAAGTTTGGAAAGCAATTTATTATTTTTTATTACAATTAATCATTTGTTTTTAATTAATTTGAGGTTTGATTTTGCAATAACCTGAAAGCGGAAGCTGGTGGCCTAATTCCTTCTGGCAGGTCATCAATAGGGCATTATTCTCCCCCACCTTAATTCATCATTCATCATTCATCATTCATCATTCATCCTTCATCATTCATATTCATTATTCATCATTCATCATTCATCATTCATCATTCATTGTTCATCATTCATCATTCATCATTCATCATTCATCATTCAAATTATTTATATTATTTATTATATATTTTTAGTTTTTAATCTTTAGTGTTTAATTTATGAAGAATAAAAGACATTTTAGAATAATGATTTAGCAAGTTTTGATTTACAGGATGATTTATTTTGATTAGGCTCATTATTATAAAATTTCACACTGAAACAAGATTTATACCAAATCTTGAAATTTTTTTGAAATTTAATGTTTTTCCTTTCAAAAATTAATCATTTTTCAAATTATCTTTATTTTATTTCTAACCTCAGTCACTGCATTTCTAGCCGCCTCCATATTTTGGCAATATCTAAAATAAAATAAATTCATAGTTTTATTATTTAATATCATGAACAGTTTAATATTGTCATTCAAAGTGTTTGTTTCATAATCTCTGAAAGAAGCGGCGCAAATGGTCCACAACTCTGTTTTTACTTTGTACAGGGTGTCCCAAAAAACATGAGAATTCAGTGACGAATTTGGTATCGTCTTTGTTATGAATTAGCATTGTAATACCTAATTTCAAAAGCAATAATATTATTATGTCTGCTAGAGTTTATTTTATGAAAAGGGTAAAAAGCTGTAAAGATGTGTCTATAATGTCTCCGTACGATGAGTGAAGACGGACAAGTTTACTCTGTTTGTATACTGCAATTTTCTTGTTTTACTAAGTAAAACCGTATGCAGTCAAAACATAAACAAACAAATTGTAAACATAGCAGACGAAACTCTTACAGATTACAGCTTTCTCAGTAGGTATCACTATACTAAATCAAAGAATTATTTAAAAAGACGATATCGAATTCGTCACTAAATTCCCATGTTTTTTGGGACACCCTGTATAATAAGTTCGGTTACTCTCGATGCACTCCAATGTACGGAAAATGTCGTCTTCTAAGATAGATAGATAAAAACCTAATATGACGTCCCTTTTGCCTCTTTAATCAAATACGTCATATTGAGTAATTATCTATCTATCTTAGGAGACGACATTTTCCGTACATTGGAGTGCATCGAGAGTAACTAACCTTAGTTTACAACCTTAATTTTACTGTACCTGCAGTACAGTCGGTTTATTGTGTCGGAAAATTCTAGAAAGGTTCGGGCTACCTAAAATAGAAAAAGCAATAGAGTCATGTCCGGCGTACATAAATTATAAAATAATAGACATTTTTGGGCTACTAAATATAAAAAGGCTTGTCTTTAAAAGAAAAATGCGACATGCTAAATGTTAAGAGCACTTGGGGGCTGCCAAAATAAATATAGAAATGTTCGGGGCACTTGGGCTGCCAAAAATATCAATAAATATAGAAATGTTCAGGGCACTTGGGCTGCCAAAATTACCAATAAATATAGAAATGTTCGGGGCATTATGACTGCCAAAAATACCAATGAATATAGAATTCTGTTCAGAGCACTTGGGCTGCCAAAAATAACCATAAATATAGAAATGTTCGGGGCACTTGGGCTGCCAAAAATACCAATAAATATATAAATGTTCGGAGCACTTGGGCTGCCAAAAATTCCAATAAATATAGAAATGTTCGGAGCACTTGGGCTGCCAAAAATACAAATAAATATAGAAATGTTCGGAGCACTTGGGCTGCCAAAAATACCAATAAATATAGAAATGTTCGGAACACTTGGGCTGCCAAAAATACCAATGAATATAGAATTCTGTTCAGAGCACTTGGGCTGCCAAAAATACCAATAAATATAGAAATGTTCGGAGCACTTGGGCTGCCAAAAATACCAATAAATATAGAAATGTTCGGAGCACTTGGGCTGCCAAAATTACCAATAAATATAGAAATGTTCGGAGCACTTGGGCTGCCAAAAAAAAACAATAAATATAGAAATGTTCGGAGCACTTGGGCTGCCAAAAATACCAATAAATATAGAAATGTCGGAGCACTTAGGCTGCCAAAAATACCAAGAAATATAGAAATGTTCGGGGCACTTGGGCTGCCAAAAATACCATTAAATATAGAAATGTTCGGGTTACCTCCTGACTATTGAGCCCACATCGTTCTAATTCAGGGAGTAAACAGTTTGAATGAAATGTTTCAATCTCATCTGAACAAAGAATATTTATATAATACGGGTTTAAAACCCAAACAAAAGTTTGAACACAATAAGAACCAGAAATATTTTTTACAATATTTTTGCTGGCCTGTTTAAATTAAATCTTGAGTCTAAAAGTCGTCTTCCTTCCTATTCAACATTTACATCAGTTCACAAAAAAATATAGCTTTGAATGTTAATAATGTTTGTCATTTTAGTAAGATTTTTTAAATATGATACGATGGTTGGAGATTATATTATAATATAATGAAGACGACTTTCGATTTTTTCTTTGATTCAAATCAAGTGCTTAATTACACCATGGTTCCAAAAAAACATAAAAACAAAGAGAAATTTTCAATTAAAAAAGCTTCTCTTTATTGCTTTGAAACTTGTAATTCGAATCAAACAATTAAAACTTAAATATAAAGTCGTCTTCATTCTATTAATATAATCGCCTACTACTTATTTTTCAGGATTTAAAAACATTTCAATTGTTTCTTACTTTCAGTTTATTCGGATCCAATATAGCTATTTTGCATTTGCATTGAGATATAAAGTTTTGTTGAAATAAATTGATTTTAAAAGCAGATATAAAATATAATATAATATAAAGAATTACCTAAATTTCCAAAAATAGTTTCAGTTTTCAAACTTATGGAAGAGTTATGGTTTATCATCTTATCCCTGATATAAGGATAAACATTTAAACATTTATTATCAATAAATGATAAAATGTTTAGTCGAAAAAATGATAAATGATGATATTGATATATATATATATATATAGTAATTTACTTAAAATTATAATAGTAGTCATATTTAAAATAATCATATTGACCAAAAATAAATAAAGTAAAAATAATTTTAATAACAAGTAAAACAGATTTTTATAATAACTATAATAACCACTTAAAAATGATAATAATATTGATTTACTAAAATTATGAAAGTTTAGCAAATAAATTTTAATAATACTAAAAGACATTAATGTAATAAAATGATTGATCATTATATTAATAATCATAATGATAATAGTAATAATAATATTAATAATAATAATAATAATAATATACCTGTATCCAACAAGAATACTGTGGATATCTGCAACATATCTCTCCTCTGTATCCAGCAGTTCACACAGGATGTTTTCTCGCCTAAATGTATCCAAAAATGATTGTTTTTTTTTGATGATGATCAGGTGCTTTTCAAAAGGAATTTTCCCAAGTGGCAACTTCCCAAATGTGCAGATTCCCAAGCTGCCAATTCCCAAGTCTGCCTTAGGGAACTTGCCGCTTTGAACATCGCACATTTGGGGAGTTGCCACTTGGGAAATTGTCACATGGGAAACAACCCTTAGTAAACAGCCCTTAGGAAACAGCCCTTGGAAAAACATTAAACAATTAAAGACTATTTACCCTCCATCAAAAACTAGGGGGCAATACCCCCCCCCCCTACGTACCGTATACTAAGATCTATTGATGACTCCGCTTCCCCCCTGGTATTGGGGGCGAGTGCCCTCAATTCCTCTCTTCTCTCCACAACCTTCCTCATAATAGTCTCTAGTTCATCTATACCATCATCTACCTAGATAGAGAGATAGATAGATAGAGGCATATAGATAAATAAATAGATAGATAGATAGATAGATAGATAGATAAAAATAAAAATTATATAGATAGATAGGTAGAGAGATAGATTAGATACCTGGAAAACAGTTTTAGCACTGAGTAATGTTTTGATATCTTCATAATCTTCCTCAAACCCTGCTCTACTCTTGATCTTTATATCCCTAAACATAAACTTTATATCCCTAAACATAAACTTTATATCCCTGAACATAATCTGTATATCCCTGAACATAAACTTTATATCCCTGAACATAATCTGTATATCCCTGAACATAAACTTTATATCCCTGAACACAATCTTTATATCCCTGAACACAATCTTTATATCCCTGAACACAATCTTTATATCCCCGAACACAAACTGTATATCCCTGAACATAATCTTTGTATCCCTGAACACAATCTTTACATCCCTGAATAATTAACTTTATATCCCTGAACATAATCTTTATATCCCTGAACACAATATTTATATCCCTGAACATAAACTTTATATCCCTGAACACAATGTTTATATCCCTGAACACAATATTTATATCCCTGAACACAATATTTATATCTCTGAACATAAAATTTATTTCCCTGAACACAATTTTATATCCCCTAAAATATTAAAATCCAAATATCTCTGCAACCTGATGGTGTAAACCCTTGATATTTCAAACTTTGACGTCATAATCTTGTAGAACTCTTGAAATATCAAAAATTAGGATGCACAAAGTTAGGGAAAAGAAAGTTCAAATTTGAGATAAATATAATAAGTTATTTTTTATTTTTATTTTTTTTTACAATTTTTCAGGGTTTTTAATGCTAACCTTGATTTTGACATGAGGTAATCAATTTGTCTGATTTGGCTGAGCATATCCTGATCCCGATCCTGATCCTTGTCCCGACTTATAACAACGATAATAATAATAATAATAATAATAATAATAATAATAATAATAATAGTAATAATAGTAATAACGATAATAATAATCATAACAATATATCGGCATTAAAACTTATGTCGACGATGAAAATAAAATTATTCAAATTATTTTAAAATAAGCGTTACCTTAAATGTTCTGTTGCTGTATGGCACCATTTTCTAAAATATTTGAATTTTGATTTATTTTATAAAATCAAATGAATATCGCCCCCCCCCCCTCTTTTGCCATGTTTAGGACTGACACTTATAAGTCATAAGGTAGACAGGATATTAGACGTCTCTTATTTTAGTCTAAATACTGGGTTAAAAGTTAAAAACCAAAATTACACACTTAAAAAGTTCGAAAGTTAAATATTTTCAACAACTAACTTTTTTCCGAGTCTATCGACAAAATTCAACATGACTATTTTTTATCGAATGGTTTCAGTAGAAGTAAATATTTCCATTTACTGATAGCGCCGATTGAAGGATTCATAACTATAATTGGATAGTGAGATAGATAGAAAGATAGATGTTACCGCCATACTATTTCTATTGGTTCAGAATAGACAACAAACACATGACTGAACCATGATTGGATCAGGTCCTAATGGACTCGGCAGACAGGAGTGGTTCAATTCACAATGGTGTCCTTGAAAAGGTTCATTTCTGTTTATTTTATTTTTTGTCTCCGCTGCATTAATACGCAAGTTCCATTCTACAGAGAAGATTTGTACAGGGTACCATGTTGAATTGGGCATGCCCAACTTAGAATTGAGGGTAACGTTTCCAGGTCTTTATAGAAAAAGAAAGAAATAGGATTTACCTAATATTTTCTAAATAATAGGATTTACCTGATATTTTCTAAATAATAGGATTTACCTGATATTTTCTAAATAATAGGATTTACCTGATATTTTCTAAAGCTTCAAAAAGATCCAAAAATTTGAGTAAAGCTCGTCTTCGTTCTAAAGTATAAATATTATAAAAAAAACGTCACAGCAAAGTGTACGGAAACCCTATCGCCCCCTCCTTCTGTTCAATATCTCCTTGGATTTTACCAAGTTTAACCTTTTGATAATTAAGTTATTTAGCCTTTAATTAACAAATCTAAAAAAAAATAATAATAATAATATATCTTTTAAAAATCTACCTAGACAGTCTCGTGCAAAAGCATGATCAAGTATTAGATCTTGGCCTGATTTTACCAGGCACTAGGCACACAAATCAATTTGAAATGGCTTCACTGATCTTGTAAACATTTATTATTTTATAATCTTTTAGCTTAACTTTTTAGTTAATTTGACAAATTAATTTGAATAATTAGCTATTAGATTATCTGAGCGTATTTAAAAATACTAGTAAATATTTTCTTTGATTCTTGATTTTTTTTTATTGAATTCTTAATCAATTGATTGACTGAGAGCCTTTTAATGAATACATTAAGATTATTTCATCTTGTTTAAGAATTTCCATTATTAAGATGATATGCTTAATATGACACTAATAGATTGAGAGCTTATTTAAAAATCAGCTAAATGGATGAAAAATGTTCAAATTTCTTGAGCATAGGTAAAGCAATCATTCAGATTGAATTATTGATTGAAACTTGATTGATTGTTCAATTGATTAATTCCTTGGCTTTGATGACATCAACACCGAGAGCCTCGATCACGTGATCCAGCTCATCCAGAGCTCTAGTTACTTCATCGAGACTCTCACCACTAGATAAATAGATAGATAGATAAATAGATAGATAGATAGATAGATAGATAAATAGATAGATAGATAGATAGATAGATAGATAGATAGATAGATAGATAGATAGATAGATAGATAGATAGATAGATAGATAGATAGATAGATTATTTATTAAATGATTATGACTCGGCCGAGTTATTATCTAATGCAAACAAATGTTTTATTTTTTTGGTTTAAATAATCTATTATTTATTAGGTTTTAGTTAGAAACAGGAACAGCAAACATTAGAAAAAATAGCGAAAAAAATTGACCAATTTAATCATTTTTGAAAATTATTTAATTTTTCATATTAATCTTTAACGCAAATTTTCAAAAGTAAAATTTAATTATTTTTTTAATATAAGTTTAACAATAGAAAGTTTATAGAATGAAATTAAAATTTTTGGAATTTTATGACCTGTATTCTAAATTTAATAGTTTTCAAGTTATGTTTATATCTTAAAAGAATTTAAAAAATTCACAGAAAGATTTAAAATTTGAAGATTGAAAAAAAAAATGCTTCGCCCAATTCTAGACATACTCAGCCGAGATATTTTTCAGTTAATAAACTTCTAGACTCAAAAGTGTCATTGAGAGTCAAAAATTTCAAATAATTTCAGCTCGATCTCCTTTAAACCTCAAATCTGTATCATCAAGAGTACAAGATTTTTCAATTGGATTGGAATGCTGCTTTTATTGAAAAAAACGGAAGAGTTTTTGCAGAAAAATATCTTTTAAAACAGGGCCGACACTGTCGCCAAATTCTATTTTATCAGAAGTTTCAAAATGTAAATCTACTTTAAGTAAAAGATGACAGTTAGACAAGTTTGATGTTTATTTGAAATTAATTTCATCTTTCACATTGAACTAAAGTGAATTCTATTTTATCTTTCACGTTGAACTAAAGTGAATTCTATTTTATCTTTCACGTTGAACTAAAGTGAATTCTATTTTATCTTTCACGTTGAACTAAAGTGAATTCTATTTTATCTTTCACGTTGAACTAAAGTGAATTCTATTTTAGATTAAGATTAAAATGTTTTCAAGAAAAACTTCTTTGACTAAAGAGTTGTTAAAATTCAATCAAATCAAGGAATTGCGTATTTGCCACAAACTCTGATTTTCGAGACCATATCTGCAACCCAACGTCTTAGACCTTAGGTATTAAAATCAAAATATAAAAGGATTACACCAACAAGTTGTTTGAAAATTTAAGATTGTGTCAAAGATTTAATTCCTTTTTTTGTTCACTTTCGTTTGTTTTAAATAAAAAACTATAGTAATTCAGCATTCAACACATATATAGTTTAAATTTTGATCTTCCTCTGTTAGTAAAATTTAATAAAGTAAATTAGATTGTTTTCTACCTGATCGCCATCTTTTTTATGATTTTCTCGTTCTCGTTGAATTTGTTCGTCAATTCTCTGTACTGGTTTTGGAACTGGTTCAGCTCAACGTACTGCACGTACAGATGATCCTAAAAAAACACAATAATGATAATAAGATGGTGGTGTTTTGTGTGTTACAAGCTGAAGTGTCCAGCGTTGCCCGTGGAACTAAAAAAATTAGAATTAAAAAATCAAATTTTGAAAAATTTCGATTTTTTAATCTATATAACCTCCAGGGTTTGCCATGAGGTTCCTCAAATATATATATATACAGGGTGAGAAAACAAAGTGTGATTTTCGGTGCCTGGTGCAAAATTGTACCTTTTTTGTGAAAGTCACACTTTTTTGACACACCCTGTATATATACGAGCGAAGAGCTTTATTATGTAGATATATTTACTAGAGCAATACACACATGTGTAATTGTAAATCAGTGTACAGTAAACGTCATATTTCTATTGCAATTTTACATCTGTAATTTTAGGTTTTATATCCCCCCCCCCCCTCCCCTTTACCAATTCTTTAGTTGCGCCCTAGTTTTTATGTGAGTTTATGTTAGGTTTGAGAAATGAAAGATGTCAGATTGTAAAAGAATTAAATATTTATAACCTCGGTTCCCCCTTACCTTAAAATCATAAATGTTTAAAGAGAAAGAGAAAAGCAATTATTTCCTTTTCCACTTTAATGCAAACTTGTTCAAAAGGAAAACATTTCTATAAAAGGGAAGCTCAATCGGTTGTAGGGATGACAACTTTTGAATGTAACATCAACCGGTTTTAACCTTGTGTTTAAGGAAAGAAACAACTTATCCCTGTAAAGGACTAATGCAAAATCTCCGAATAAAACCGGTTGTTAAATTCTATAATTTCCAGATTTTTGCACAAATTGTCTTGAAATATCAGTCGTAACCGCACTTAATTAGCTAAAATCGTAATTTACGACCAAGTGCGTGTAAACGGCGGAAGTAACTATGAGTAACCTAGGCAACGCGCTCTGGGTTCCCAAGCTAGTTCCTAATAAAGAAAATAAAGGTACTCAAGATCATGCCTGCATCTTGAAGGTTCTGGTGAAGTACTGCCACGTGTTATCAAGTTGATAACACAGCATCTGTACACTCAATCTCTGCATTAGGTTGGCACCAGATTCCTTAAATGATTAAACTTTTAAAAACAGAATAATAAATGTTGTTTCATTTGGTTTAATTTTATTTTAACATTTATTTATCACTGCAAAAGGGCCTCTCATCCAAAACAACCAGCAATGGTTAGATAGTACCTGGCTTAATTAAAAAGTAAAAATTGTGAAATTGTATTTGTTATTTATTAAAATATTAGGTCAAATATATATATCTATCTCTCTAAATTTAATTAGTAATCCCTGACTTATTGAAAACTTTCAAAACCTAGTAATATTCATCATATTGTAAACGTTTTAATAATAATAAGGTGGGGATAATACCCAAAACAGTGAAAGCTAATAATCTAATTGCTATAATACATACACATAGTAAACAATATAGTGGCTTATTTTTTAACTTTTATATGTATTTTTAGCAATAAATTATATCTTATCTTGTCTACTTTATCTATCTATCAATCTAAAAAGCATAAGTTTTGTATTTGATTTAAAACTGAAATAAAACAATTTATTTAAAGGGACTGTTGGCATGATTCCAAAAAATCCTTCCTGAACCGAGTTGCAAGCTTAACGGTATACTTAACATCTTGGAAACAAACATCGGTGTTGTTAATCTTGCAATAAAGATAAATTCTATCAATGTCCTTTCTTGTCTTTACAACATAAATCTGCAAGTAATTAAGAGTGTTTAAATTAAATGTCGTCTTCACATTCCACAGTTCTATTTAAATGTATATATATTTATAAACCTGGAATTGGCGCATCATATAAACTCCTTGATCAGTTAAATCCTCCAGCTCTCGTCGAAGTCTCTTGTAACAGTTCCGGTTCTTCTCTGCCACCTGAACAATATTAATCAATCAATCAATAGTTCTGGTTCTTCTCTACCACCTGAACAATATTAATCAATCAATCAATCAATAGTTCCGGTTCTTCTCTACCACCTGAACAATATTAATCAATCAATCAATCAATAGTTCCGGTTCTTCTCTACCACCTGAACAATATTTATCAATCAATCAATCAATAGTTCCGGTTCTTCTCTGCCACCTGAACAATATCAATCAATCAATCAATCAATAGTTCCGGTTCTTCTCTGCCACCTGAACAATATTAATCAGTCAATCAATTAATTAATTAAACTTCATTTATTATTGATTACTTGATCATAGATTGAAATTTGTCTACTCCATCAGATTGCAAAGATATAAGAATTAGAAAAAGATTAGACCCTTTAAGTAAGGTTTAGTTTTTTTTCTAAATCTAAAGCTTCTGTTTCATAAGTAGATAAGCTAATTAAATAAACTAGATGAAGAGCTGATAAAAAATTAACCTAATCAATTGTTAACTTTGCATTAACATAGTTAGGGGAGGGCACTGGAGGGAAGATAGGGTGAATTAGGGGGGGGGGGTAAAGAGAAGGAGGAGAAGGGGGAGAAGGAAGGGAAAAGGAGAAAAGGGAGGAAAGATACTTGAAATTAATCCCCTTATTCCTCAGCATTTCCAAGATAAAATTTGTCTAAGGGCAATGAACTTAATGGAAAAATTTTCAAGAAATAGGAACGCTTGAGAAGATATTTTTCATTTTAAACGCTTGATTTCGATATCCAATGTGCACACTTAAATTTGATCAATGCTTCTTTCCTTAATGTTGTCCCTTCAGCGAATGACAATTACGAGATATTAAAGAAGAATAAACCTTAATCTGATTAGATGGAGATCAAGACTTGATCCCAAGAATTTTGCGCACAATCAATGAGAAAACTCGGAACCCAGCAGAGATATCAAAAAGAGAGGATTAAGCAGAAAATCATAAGTGTTCACAGTGGATATCAAGATTAAGCATACGGAATTAAAGGATATCCCATACAAAATTTCAAACTTTAGGGGCCGAAATCAATGAACTAAATGGACAGTTTTTTAAAGAAAGAGAAAAGATGTAAATCTTTTTATTTTCATAATATGCCAGAAGTACTGGAAAGTACCCCGACTAGTGAAACAGTGAGGGGGTTGCTTGATAAATACAAAATCTAGTAAATATCAACATAACGTTATAACAGTTTTAAGCATCTGTTTTTGATAAATGATAAAAAGCTAAAGAAAAAGAATATAAATAATATTATTTCTTGTTAGAAATGTTTTTATTAGATGTCCGAGAGTTAATCCAATGTTGGTGGCAGGGAATAAAATAAAGGCTAAATATGTCAATTTTCATAAGTTCTTAACTTCTTTAGAAAAATGTTTGTTCATTGTAGATCTGACATTATTGTTAATCAAATCTAATCAATTTTACGATTCTTATCTAAAGGTACTTGAAGACAAACTACATTAAAAACTGAAAAGAACTGAACAAATTCTAATCTCTGTTACAACTTGATGTCGTAACCCTTTGATATTTTAAACTATAAATTCTTTTAGATATCAACTTGCCAACGTTTGAAGTATATCAACATGGGGCAAATTAATCATTATGTTTGAAAGATGTAGGAATTAAAAGATTCTGTGGTGAGTTGTCAGTTCATTTATTAACAACGAATAACAATGAAAAAGCATATGATGTCTGTTTTGAATGTCTCTAAAAATAAGAGAATGTTAAAAATGTTGAAAAAGATAAAGATCATTTTAATATTGAGCTAAGTCTATCAGTTTAAATTGGGCTCCTTCATCAGGGGCGTATTCAGGAATTTGTCCAGGGGGGGATTAAATTTTTTTCTTTCCAGGGGGGGGGCTCAGCACTCGTTGGGGCATGAACACCCATTGAAATCAACAGATTTCGCTGGTCCAGGGGGGGCTTAGTCCCAATACCCCCCCCCCTGAATACGCCTCTGTCCTTCATTATATCAGGGAGAAAAAGTATACAATTTACAATTTTTTATATTTAGGATACTAAAGGTAAGACATCTTAGCTTATCTTAGCTTCAACAATGGTTATGAGGGACCAGTGTTAATTATAAGATAAACAAAAACACAATTATAAAAAAAGAATTTTTTTGATCTGCTTACAAAATTAGGGAAAAATATACATTCTCTTTTTCTTTTGATATTTACATAGGATATAATTAACACGAATAATTGGTCCGATTAGGAAATTAATATCAAATGTTATCATTAATATACATACTTTGCTTTTTTATTGAAAAATATGCTCTTTTAGAATATTTTTCTTTTATCTTGAAAAAAAATGTTTTTTCATTTATACATATTTAGTGAATTTACTATTCTTTGTTAAAGTATGAAAAAAAAGTTTTTAAATTAGATTTAGACCATTTTTTTAGTGTTGTGACTTATGAGCGCAGCTTTTAAAAATCATATAATATATTAAAATTAAGCCGCAAAATCAATGAAATAATTTGTTAAAATCCGGGAAAAATTTTTTGGGGGCATGTTTATTTTCATTGAAGAACGTTAATCACAATTATAATTTGGACCCAAAGTTTGAACAGAGAAATTATAAAAACTAATTCGTAAAAAAAGTGAGGAAGTATATTCCTAACATCTGGAAAACCTCTATTTTTTCAAAAAAAAACGAGAAAAGTCCGGAAAAATGTTTTTTATTTTTTTTTATTTTTTACATTTTGAATATACATTCCTAAAGTTAATCACTAATCTGACCTTCATGCAAAATCTCAAAAAAATAGTTTCAACTGTGCCCGTTTCCATTTAGTTCAAACTAGGAAAGCTAGGCTTTTTATGGTCTGATGATTAGGGACGAATAAAATGACTTTCGTATATCTTACTGCAAAAACAATGGAGGATATTGTAAGAATTTATCTCTTTTAAAAATAGAAAAACAGCGATATCTTCCACATTATTGAGACAGATACATGCTTAAAGAATATTGTTGTGAATGAAGTACAGCCCTCTTTAAAAAGAGGGTTATTTGAAATTACATGAATGGCTAAGTATATATACAACTAGTTTATATTTAATCTTCTTGTATAAATTAAGCCAAGCTAGTCTAATCTGAAAGTTTGGCTGAAGGAAGAGTATAAAAGCTGTAAATTCTACAGTAACGGGTCCTTGCTAAAATGAGATTGGAAGGTTTGGAGGGGTGGTGTCCCAATAAACACGGGAAGTAAGTGAAGAATGGAGGGTTACTGTCCCAATAAACACGGGAAGTACGTAACGAGTGGAGGGGTGGTGTCCCAATAAACACGGGAAGTAAGTGAAGAATGGAGGGTTACTGTCCCAATAAACACGGGAAGTGAGTGATGACTGGAGGGTTGGTGTCCCATTAAACATGAGAAGTAAGTGACGACTGGAGGGTTTGTGTCCCAATAAACACGGGAAGTAAGTGAAGAATGGAGGCTTACTGTCCCAATAAACACGGGAAGTAAGTGATGACTGGAGGGTTGGTGTCCCAATAAACACGGGAAGAAAGGGAAGACTGGAGGGTTGGTGTCCCAATAAACACGGGAAGAAAGTGACGACTGGAGTGTTGGTGTCCCATTAAACATGGGAAGTAAGTCACGACTGGAGGGTTGGTGTCCCAATAAACACGGAAAGTAAGTGACGACTGGAGGGTTGGTGTCCCAATAAACACGAGAAGTAAGTGAAGAATGTAGGGTTACTGTCCCAATAAACACGGGAAGTAAGTGATGGCTGGAGGGTTGGTGTCCCAATAAACACGGGAAGTAAGTGACGACTCTTCTATATCGTCCTTGTATTCCCATATTTATATCAATCATTTTAGAAATTTGGTCGCTGAATGATTTTTAAAAATATTATTACAATGATAACCAGAAAACGAATTAGGAAGACGATTTATAACAGTACTGAAGTGTATTTAAAAGTGGGTCTTTTTACACTGCACATGTTATGACTATTTAAAGTCATAACTTGAGTCTAACAAAATTTTTCTTTTCCTGATGTTTTCTTTTTTTTGATGACCAATGTTTTGTATAATTTAATTAAACTTTTTTTATTAATTATTTATTAATCTATAAGACCTAAACTTAGTAAGGGTTTTCTTAGGAATTATATTTTGATAAGTTTTAAATACTTCTATAATTTAGTAGCTTGGGAGCCCAACTTTGCTTGGAAACAAAAATTTCTCTATAAAAGTCAACCCACCCAACTTAGAATTTTGAATCCCAACTAAAAAACATTCCCTAGGTTCTTCTGTTACCTAACAAAAACGTGTGTTAAATCGGTTCAGAGGTTTATATGTTATGATCGGACATACAAACAAACAAACAGACAAAAAGACAATACTACTTTATACATGTAGATTTTAAAACCACTTTTTTATCTCTAAACATGCATTTGTAATTTGAATTTTTAGGTTTCCCATAAACGTCAAAACGACTGAACCGAATGGGTACAATTTTTTGTGATGGCCCTGAAATACTATACTATACATTGTAACTAAAGATGATTAAAGAACTACTAGAAACCGTGACCGAATAATAACCCTAAGCAAATCCTTTTTCATTATCTCTAATATGTAGTGGAGGGGGAGGGGGGGGGGGGGGTCAAAATGACTTCAATATATCAAATTTAATTACTTATTCTACTTATCCGCCCAAAGGCATGGATAGACCCGGTTTTTATGGATCCCCCCCCTCTCCCTATGTATTTTTTATCCCCATGGATCATATATTTGCTTTGTATGTTGGTTTCCAATAAACAGCTGAACCGATTGGTCCCAAATATATTTTGGGACCTGAGCTTGGTTTTGCTATGATTAAATAGTGAACGAAGTAGAGAGTATAAAGAGCTTGTTGTTTAGATTTAACTTGATTAAAGAGACAATAGTTTACTCCAATTAATTTTACTTTTCATGAAATGTTGATGAGCTTGTCATTCTACCTCACAGAGGTCAACGTTTAATGATATTACTAGAATATATTGGAAAGGAAAACTAAAGAAAACTGTTTCCTTTTTTTATACTTTTATTAAACAAATTCTTGTGTTCTTGTGTTCAAGTGTTCTTTGCAACCTGATGGTGGAAATCTTTGATATTTCTAACTTTAATATATTAGATTTATTATTTATGTATTAGAATATTAGATTTACTTCAATAAATCTTCCAAACTCCTGGATCTAAAATCCTCGAAATCGTGTGAAAGAGTACATTTACCTCCTGCATTGTATCCTGATGTTGATGTAAACTGATATCTTCTTGGTTTAAAATCTTGACAAATGTTGCCAACCGTCGAGCTATCTTGGTAGCACTAAAACAGATATTTCATATATCAACCGATCGTTATATTAATCAATCAACCAATCAACCAATTATTTGATCAATCAATCAACAAATCAACTAACTAAAGTGATCGACCAATTAGTTATCAAGTTATGACCCAACATCAAATCATATATAATGATACAGCAATAAAATGTTCAACCAACCATTTCATGAACAAAGCAAGCAGCCAATCTACTAATCAACCAACTAAGAACCAATATAACCAACCAACCAACTAACTAACCTACCCACCAATCAGTCCAAGAACAAAGCAAGCAGCCAATCTACTAACTAACCAACCAAGAACCAATATAAACAACCAACCAACTAACTAACCTACCCACCAATCAGTCCAAGAACAAAGCAAGCAGCCAATCTACAATTTACTAACCGACCAACTAACCAGCCAACCAACCAACATCCATCCAACTAACTAAACTCCCTACCAGTGTACAAGCAAAGCAGCTACAACCAATCCACTAACCAACCAACCAAGAACCAAAACAACCAGCCAACCAACCAACCAACTAACTAACCTGCCCACCAATCATTCCAGCAACAAAGCAGGCAGATAAGTATAACGAACCAAACACAAAACAACTAAAAACCCAACTAATCAGCCAACCAACCAACTATACAACGCAAACCAACCAATCAACAAACCAACCAACCAACAAACTAACTATCATACCAACTAACCAGTTAACCAACTATAGCCAACTACCCACCAACCCCGACCAACTATTGTATTAACTAACCTATAAGTAAAGCTATCTACATGTTGTTGAACAGTAAGCCATGTCTCTATATCATTATTTAACATCCCTCCTAACTCCACAGGCAGGTGCTGAAAATAACAGATAACAAAGTTTTAAAAAATATGCAACAAAACAAAAGGAGTGATTAGCATTTTTTAATAAAGTTACAATTAACCATTGTCTAAGTGGTTTCCAGTAAACTATGGAAAACAAAGACGATTTTTAAGCAATATTATGAGTATTTGATGTTGTTCCAAATTTACGAAGCTGAGCTGAAATTTTTTTAATGAGATTTCTTTAATCCAGATCTGCTAATTTTTCTGGAGATTAATTAAAAGATGAGATCGAGCATTGATCTTAGATAGATAGATAGATAGATATATATTTGACTAAATATTTAATTAAAAACAATTTAAGTTTCACAATTTTTACATTTTAATTTAGCCAGGGCCTCTCTAACCATTGTTGGTTGTTTTGAATGAGAAGCCCTTCTGCAGCGATACATCCATGTTCAATTTAAATAAAACCAATTAAAACAAAAACAATTTAGAACTAAAGGAAAAGGAGGAAAATGAAAAGTAGTAGATAGAGGAAAGGTATTGAAGAATAGAAAGGAAAAGAAGAAGAATGGATCGTAGGGGCTGAAAACTTTAGAATGATGGATATCAAGATTAATCCTTAAACTCCTGGTTTTACTAAACCCGAGATTATTTTAATACGCATTCGATATCCAAGAAAGAAGTTTGAAATTAAACCAATCAGCATGTCATGTTAAGATGTACATGCTGATTGTGTCATATCAATTGAACTAAACATCGATTGAACAACTGTAAGTTTTGGATTAATGTTTATTAAGACTAACGTGTAAAATTACAATGGTCCTAAAATGTGATAACATGTGTTTTTTAATGGTTTCATATTAACATTGTAAAATTTATATTTTTATAAATGCTTTAAAAGTCGGCTTGTGAATAGCTGATTTAAACTCAATCGGATATAAGTCCAATCGATATAGCATTGTATCTGTAATTGTTATCAAGCATAACTTTTTGTACAGTAGGGATATCCAAAAAAGAGGATTAAGAAGAAAATCAAAAGTGATTCAGGATATCTCATTCTAAAGTTTTCAGCTCTGAGCAAATAGTTTCACCATTAGCTTATTAAGAGAAATGGACAGAGCACTTTTAAACTGCAAATTTAGTCTTCATTGGTCTTTGTAAAATCAAAACTTAAGTATAAAAGCCGACTTCCAAAATTTGATAGGCTTTGCTGTATTAAAAAAAATATCCAATTAAAAACTATGTCTCAAAAAAAAGTAACTATTTATTTGGGAAAATAGATATTGACTTATTTTTTTTGAAGTGTTTGAACTTGAAAGTGTTTCTAACTTGGAACTTTACTGAAGAGTCACCTCAAATAACGAGATGATTATTCCGTTGGCAAATATTTGATATTTTAATATGTCACCTTTGTGTCGATATAGTGCATTAACTCAGTCACATGCGAGACATGGAATATATCAAAATCCAGGAGATAGTCGTTCACCAGCTGACCAAGAACCGGTTTTCCTAAATAGATCATTTTAGATATAAAAATAAACAATTTAAAATCAAAAGAAAAAAACTTTTTTAGATGGGTTTTTAAATGGAATTACCAGGATGCAAAGTCAGTAAATCTGTCTTTATATTAAAATTGTAAATAAAAATATTCACAAAATTTAAATTTGATAGTGCAACCGTTTCAACAATGTAAAAGTTGTTTTTTTGGTTTAATTGAAAGATATGAAATTAATGGTTTAAGTACTTGCTAGGCACAATTAAACGAATAACAATACTGTTTTCCTGGAGTTGTTTTCATGTTTGAATCTATATAATAAAACAAGACATTCTTATATATATCGTATAGCCAGCCAAACGGCTGGACCGATTGCGCTGAAATTCTTTGTGGACACTCATGGGTCTTATAGGCTAAAAAATTCGAATTTTTTTTTCAACATTTAAAAAAAAATTTCCAAAATTTAAATGTAATTTACATATCATTTCCATATAATAAAGTAATACTTATTTTTCCTTGCTCTATCAAAAAAAGTTTTCCAACCTTAAAAACCAAAAAGTGTAAAATATTCTTAGGGACAAAAATCCGAATGAAAGGGACTGTATGCAAGTAATGTTAAGTTACCCTTCTTGTCAAATTCACCAAGGTACCCTTGAACCCTTTATCTTATATTAAGTAAGAATTATATATTAATGTTTATAATTTAGAAAAATGATTATTTACAATTGTGATTTCTTTATAAAAATGACCTGCGCATTTCTACCATGCAGGAATATATCTAAATTAACTTTGTAAATCATGCATTGTCATCTTTGCATGGAGAGTCACTTGAAATTGCGCTTACAGTCCCTTTAAACTTAGAGAAATTTAAAAGAAAAATATTTATCCTCCAGGAAATAGTTTTCCCCATTTAAAATCTTGAATATTCTCTCCTCCTCCATATTGGAACATTCAAATCCAATTTCAATTCAGTTCACCATATTTTTTTTTTATAGTTTATTCAAGTTTTCCCCTGGACTCAACCACAAAGAATGCATTCAATAAATAGAGACTAATATGATTGATGTTCTCGAATTGAGACGTAAAGACGACTTTTTTTGTGAACAATAAAAATCGTTAAATCAGGTGTAAAGCAATCTCAACCAAACTTCGAAAGCATATAGACTATCAGAGTTTCTCCAGGTCGCTCAATAATCTCAGGTATCTGTCTCAAAGATACTGATCATTGTAATTCGCAATCTATATCTATTTTTCAAGAACGTGATTCAGCACCTCCTCTCGTTCGCTAGACTAGGAACATTCAAGTAATCAAAGCGAGAATTTATAGCAACTAACCTTTAATTTGAGTTCTATGGTACAGGTTACATTCATGAACCATGCACTATGTATGTACCCCCCATGTACCCTATATTTGCCCCTCCCTCTCCTTGAATCATGAATGTACCCCCCCCCCCAAGTACCCTATATGTGCCCCTCCCTCCCACATGTACTCTGTATATACCCCCCCCTGTGCCATGAATGTACCCCTCCCTCCCCCCATGTACCCTGTGTATATACCCCTCCCCCCCATGTACCCTGCATGTACCAAGTATAATGAGTGTACGCGGTGTGAATAAATGCAAATGATGGTGCAGAATATCTGTGGAATGAATAAACCGGAAAATTTCTTCAATTTCATAAAAACATAAAATATATTGAACATGAAAAATAATTCTAAAGTTTGTAAACTCTAGATCGAGAAAAAAAACTCATCTTATATTTACATAAATCACAATTTAAAGGGTGTAAACAAAATTTGATATTGCGACATGTCCTATTCACAACAGCACCCTTTAAACCTTTGTCTGCACCAGGATGAATGAGATATATTTATTTTTCTAGCTAGAGAATTCATTTTTTTACATCGTTTCTGTTAAATGTGATTTGCGGATCTTTTTTGCACAGCCAATGAAGGGTATTTTGAGAATTGAACACCCTTCAAGATTAAAAACGACAATATCTTAACTCATTGTTGTGAATCGAAAATGCAATTCTTTAAAAGGGGGGGGGGTCGTTTTTGAATTGAAGGCGTGAAGTCTATTTTAATATTTTGAAATTTTTCCTTATAGACGCAACAGATAGAAGTAAGATTAGAAGCGATCAAAAGCGCTTTTTTTTCGCCGTAAGCCTATACCCCCTTTCATTTTTCGCAAACACTCCCTTTAAGTGTATTTTAATATCTTGAAATTTGTTTGTAAAATAAGCACTTTTCCTCAAAATTTAAAAATGCTTTATTATAAATATTTTATATTTTAAAGATGCAATTTTCCGCCCACCAATCATAACTTTTATTTAAGAAAAGTATATTATTTTTTGCATTAGTTGATTCTTTTTTTTTAAATGATAGAACTTTGATGAAGAAAGTTTTTGTTTTAGTTTTTTTTGCAACTTTAAGAAATACAATGTCTTATTTCTCTTTTTGATCTAGAGAAAAAGCTTAAAAGAAACCCGAACCTTGAGAAAATTAAAACCTTTCTGTCTTATAAATAAATAAACATAGATAGCTTATGTACGCAAAATCACCAAGAATTGTTCAGTCCGCGAACTCATACTTCTAGGGGTCAAAGTGTACTTCAATGATAAGCGGGGTGGTTTGGTGTTTTAAAGGATTTAATAATAGAGTGTAAAATAACTCCGGTAATGGAACTATTTGAACAACAATATTTCACTGAGCAATATTTCATATTGACGAGAACTGAAGAAGGACATGAGAAGGACTAAACTAACTTAAATTTCTCTCGACAGAACTCATGTACACCACAAGTACTCAATGACATAAGAACAGCCAATGTTCACAACCGACCTAGTTAATCTATATAATAGGAATATCTTTAAAACATCTCTGTACATTTATATCTTTCAAGATGAAAAATGTCGTCTTATGCGAAATCTATCTTTATCTATGGATGTGACCATTAAAGTTTTAAATATAAAAGGTTTATGTTCACAATGAAGATACAAAGATATAGGGATTAGAAAAAAATGTTCAGTTCCTTTGTTTAAATAAATTTTCACCTGACGGATATTGATAAAGCAAAAACACTTCCTTCATTTTTGCGGGGAAAATAGCAACAATTTTTGCAAACACAGTCTGGATCTCATCCCAACAGGAGTTCCGTCTTAACATGGATGAATATGGATGAATATGGCTGTATTTGGATGTATATGGATGAATATGGATGAATTGGATGAATTTGGAAGAATATGGATGAATATGGATGAATATGGATGAATATGGATGAATATGGATGAATATGGATGAATATGGATGAATATGGATGAATATGGATGAATATGGATGAATATGGATGAATTGGATGAATATGGATGAATATGGATGAATATGAATGAATATGGATGAATTGGATGAATATGGATGAATATGGATGAATTGGATGAATACGGATGAATATGTATGAATATGGATGAATACGGATGAATATGGATGAATATGGATAAATATGGACGAATATGGATGAATATGGACGAATATGGATGAATATGAACGAATATGGATGAATATGGATAAATTTGGAAGTATATGGATGAATATGGATGAACATGGAAGAATATGGAAGAATATGGATGAATTGGATGAATATGGATGGATATGGATGGATATGGATGAATATGGATGAATATGGATGAATATGGATGAAAATGGATGAATATGGATGAATATGGAAAATTTGGAAGAATATGGCTGATGAATATGGATGAATATGGATGAATATGGATGAATTGAATGAATATGGATGAATATGTTACCTATCAATGACGATAGCGAACCCTGTCGACTGTTCATTTCTTGGAATCACAGAAATATAATATTTGAGTAGGAGAAGTAAATCACTGTCTTCAACCTAGAAAATTATATAGAAATAAAATAATAAATAGAAATAAAAAATCGCGATAAAATTGCTATTTATTCTAAATGCTGGAAATTTTCTTATCTTACTTTTTTCAACATTTATTAATGAAATATTTATTTATATAATCAAAATATTATTCAAAATGTCCGATTTAGTTTTCAAAATGGCCGATTTTCTTCTTCAAAATTGTATAAATGAAGACGACTGTACCTTGGGAAAAGCCGGGACATCTGAAAAGATGAGAAGGGGGTGTCCAGATTTTGTAAAGCCACCTAAAAATAATTGAAATGGTAGTTATGACATCTTTGTGTAACATCATTGTTTTAAAATTAACCTAAGCAGTGTTTTTGAAAACCCTGAATATTCGATTTGAGTCCTTTCGTATCAAAGAGTACTTGATTCCAATTTCCCGTTTCAATTTGCTTAGAAATACATCTGAGGGAGAAGGATGAAATAAAATTGAATTGATTTTAAATTTCGTTTACAAAATTTTAAATCATGAAGATTTTCTTAAATTAGATTTTATGTATAAACTGGCATTCAGAAAACTTGATTTTGACAGAAACATTTACAAAATATTTCTGCATATTAACAAACTTTTCACTCTTTATTAAAGGGACTGTAAGCGTAATTTCAAGTGACCCATCATGCAAAGATGGAAATGCCCGATTCACAACGATTCACAAATGTATGGAAGGTAGTTTTTTATAATTCGAAACTTGTTTATTTCTGTTAATTTCTCCATTGTTTATTTTATGTAAGAAATGCGCAAGTCACTTTAGCAGAAAAGACACAAACGAAATTTGAACAGAGCTGGGAACTTTTGAATGGTGGATATCGGGATTAATGCTTAATCCACACTTTTTCTTAATCTCCAGATTAAATATTGCTCGTTCTCCTCTTGTTATTAATCTCCAGATTAACTTACCGATCGGGATTAAGGATATCCCATTCTAAATGGATATCTAATTCATGCTTTATCATCCAAATGTTTAAAGGATACCGTTTTCAATCGGACATTGCAATTTTTACATATTAGGGTCACTTGAAATTACGCTTACAGTCCCTTTAATCCTAAATAATTTACTAGAAAAAGCTGGAGCTACAGTTACTTTAAAGTTTATTTCAATCTAAAAGAAAACTCTCCTTACAAACAAAACTGATTACTTGCCTCAAATTTTGTTTTTCTAATCCCTGTGCAATCTGATTATTTAAACCAATTTGACATTTGAGTTTTGTAAACATTTCATTCCGGATAATTTGTAATTGTTTTGTGATTTTTTTTCAGAGCAAAAATTGAATTAATATTTTTACTTTTTTTAGATTCACTTTTCTCCTTTATGTTGTCTGTTTGAGTGTAGAAAAGGGGAAAATATACTCTACAAACAATGGCTCTCAAATAAAATAAGGGGAAAAAATTTAACAAAAAATTACTTGCAAATTGGAAAAAACGGGAAATTGAGTTAAGTGAGAATTTCAAAAAAAAAATCGATTGAGCATATTTAAAAAAATTGATTGATCGAAAAATCAATTTTACCTGGAAGTCCGATCACTTTTGATTTGATCAAATGATGACAATCCTGAAAAAAATAGAAATTAAAGATTTGATGTTAGAATAAAACAAAAAGGGACTATTGGCGTAATTACAAATGACCGTTCACTTGTAGAGTGGCGTATAACATTCACAGTGGTACCCTGAAAACCAATGACTAATCAAGTTTTAATTGTTGAACATCTTCGTTAGAAAGCTGTTTTATATTTCAAAAATATTCATATTGCCTTTCTAAAAGAAAATAAATACTTTCTTTCAAATTTTTTTAATCCGTTTGAACGTAAAACATTTGGTAATTTATAGCGACACAATGAACGGATCAGCTGTGCTGAGTTCACACAGTACGCTGCGTGCACAAAGTTTTACAGCAATTCAAGCGCTGTTCAAGAGATTCACACACGGCGATCTCTGTACTTGATGAACAGTAAAAGGTTTACAGGTTACCATTGTCCACCTGGCATTGCAATATTTGAATGGAGGGTATAAATTACGCTTATAATAGGTACAGTGCTCATGTTCCGAGCACTCATATCTCCAGTCGAATTAAAAGGGATCAATACTTTATATTTTAAAAATCTGTTTTGCTAATAATAACGAAATTTTCTATCTTGATGTAAAGAAAATATTAGATTTTGTTAATAATAATATTTACCTCCACATTTACTCTGTGTCCTCCAGCAGCCGAAGGGGGTCTAGACATTTTGTGTCTGAAAGAAGAAATATAAATTATTCAAAATATTTATATTTGTGTGAAAATATTTAGGATTTAAGTCAAATAATATGATAAGATTTATATTTATCCAGACAAAAGAAAATTACTTATCTTTCTATCTATTTATCTATCTATCTAAAAAAAAGAAGAAAAGCTACTAAGTAGAGAACTGTGGTGGCAGTACAATCTTGGTACACTCCAGGTTGGACTTAATAAAAGAAAAGATACAAGAGCAGTGAGCCTTCAAACCAGCCGACTTACATGTTAACTATAAAATTGTAAAATTATTAGATTATGTAATATTTTGTCATGTTGTTTGTTGTGTTCATTAGTTCTATAGTTTTTTTTCTACTTTTCGTTTTCCTCTGTATACATGATGGAAGAAACCGGATTTACTTTCCAATCTTGATCCGATCATTTTAATTTTTTTACAAACATACAAACTGTTCTGAAGTTACAAGTTCTTCAACCCCCCTTTCCCTCTATTCCCCCTCCCCCTCCCTAGATCTGACCACCACCATTCATAAAATTCAAACTCATATTCAGTTAATCTTTGGTCGAGTTAAAATCTATCTATCTATCTGTCTATCTATCTATCTATCTATCTATCTATCTATCTATCTATCTATCTATCTATCTATCTATCTATCTATATATATATATATATCATAATTGTTTTTGCTGAGTTCGATTTTAATGAATTTGAGCCAAATCTCCTAAAACCATTTTCAATTGAGCGCCGGCTTAAATCTTAAAACATTGAATACAATTTTAAGAGGAACCAACTATATTTGAGCCGCGGTTTAGAGGGACAGATCGGCTATGTAATGTATTTAAACTGAGTATGCAGTGTTGTGGACAAATTATTTAGGATTCATTTGGGACATAAAAAACTTTTAAAAGATCTGTAAATCCTGAGTTTGAGCGCAAAGTCGACGTTCAAAATCGTACTTTTGGGTGGATACGTTTTCAGAATAGTTTTTTTTAATAATTGAATAGCGACGACAAAAAATTAAATTCGGCCTCGGTTTTCCGTTATAGAGCATTGACAATTGTGAAATCTCATTTTCTTAGATTTTATTTCCTTACTCTGCTGTTTGTTATTATCCTGCTGAAAAGAACTTTAATGCATTGTATCAAGTCAGTTTCAACTTTAATTCTAACTTTAATTGTACAAAGGTATACATATACATACATTGTTAAATAGATTATAAAGTAACGCTGGGTTACAATTAAATGTAAATTACATTATATAAAGTAAAAATCTTATAATAATGTAAAAAATATGTTTGTCAGTAGATATGTGTACTGTAGTTGGTTTTTAATAACTTAAATTGTTTTGATAATGATAAAAAAAACGAAGCCTGCAAAGTGTTCTAAGGTTAAAAGTTTTTAATTAGTTATTTTGAAAGCCCATTTCTACGATAGGCAAATTGGCAAAAGCTAATAGATCAAAACAACATTTATAAACCTCTAACCAATTTGACTGAAGAAATTGAGTCTTTGCCACAAACTCAAATTATCTAACCCCTGTATCTTTGCAACTCGATGTTGTAGACCTTAGATATTTCAAACTATGATTTCTGTAGAATAAAATAATCTTACTTTGAAATTTCAAAGGCTTACTCTAACAGGTTGCAAAGATATAAGGATTAGAAAATTCAAATATGTGGCAAAGACTCAAATCCTTTGGAAAGTTTTGGCTTCAACTCGTTATGGTTTGCCGTTACGTTTTTCAACTCGTTATGGTTTGCCGTTACGTTTTTCAACTCGTTATGGTTTGCCGTTACGTTTTTCGTTCTCAAAAGTTTGTCAGTTTTTGTTTTAAAATTAGGCATTTGATCTATTGCCATTTTATTATATATAATATGTCACCCTAGTATGATTAGTAGTAATTCAGTCCATTTGATATCGCCGCTAAATTTCTTTATTTTTCTCCTATTGGTGGATTTTTTTAAAGATAGATAGATAGAATGATGATCGATAGATAGCACTGAAGACACATTGAAACCTAATTAGATAATCATTTGTTAAAAAAAAATTTGTATGTTCCTACATTTTCATCGTTGTTTTATAGTTTAGTGTTAATTATTTTTTATTTATAAAAATTTAGATTTTTTGTTTGTTTTCGGGGCCCTCGGTTAAATGCAAAAGTTTGAGAGAATGCCGCAACTTGTTTGTTTATTATATAAACATGTTGTTTCGGCCGAATTGAAATGA